GCTGAGCCCACACCCAGTCCCCCAGACCCCCAGCTCCCCACCCCACCCCAACCCCTCGACCCTGCGGTCTGGGAACAGGCACCTGGCAAGCGGGGACAGAGGTCTGGAGGAACAGACGCGGCTGGGCCGCCGCGAGGCCCCACGCAGGCCAGCTGCACAGCCTCGGCCCCGCCCAGCCTGGCAGCCCCCCAGAGGGAACCCGCCTGGGGGTCCACAGGACAGATGCTGGCAGATGCTCATCCGCCTTCACTCTGCTGCCAGTGCTGTGTGTCCCTGGGCAAGCTGCGGGCCTGTTCTGAGCCTGTGTCCCCAGCGACAAATGGCCGCGGAACAGAGCCTGCTCAGGGCTGCCTTAGGAAGGTGGAATTTCAGGCTCTGCTCTGAACTCCCCCAACTCCTTAAAGGTGGTAGGCCTGCCATGCACTCTATGAACCCCCACGTTCTGTTACCACTGGAGCTATGGGCCTACCAGGGCCACAGGAAAGACGGAGGAGGAGGTACCTGACCAGGACTGCTGAACACCAGCCTCTGGACTCCTGGAGGGGATTTCTTTCTCCTGTCTTTTTTATACTTTTTTTTTTTAATGTACTTTTTTAAAATTACAGTTCTTCTGTTAGAATTGCTCCTCCTATGTGTGTACCGGGGAGAAGTAAAATCACAAACCCACGCCAGGCCTTGAGCACCATTGCAATGGTGGAAACAATCCACCAGTCTGCCAGTTGAGGGATGATGGGCCAGTGGGTCCACCATAGAGTATTACTCAGGCATGAAAAGGAATGAAGCAGAGATACCATGGATCTTCATGTAGATCCATGGAAAGAAATGAAGTCAAGCCTCAAAAACACGATACTGGGGAGGCAGACACCAGAGGCCACATACACGTGGCTTGACTTATGTGAGTGTACAACCCACATTGACAGAGGTGGACACTGGTGGTTTAGGGGTGGAGGGAGACTGAAAGAGATGATTTTGAACAGAAAAGAGGTTGGGAGGATGTAATAAAGTATTCCGGAAGTAGACAGGTACCAGCTGCACAGGACTGAAGCCTCCACGGTGCTGCGGTTCCCGCGCCTTCCCAAGGCGCAGAGCCACATCCCAGGGTTGGCAGGCACAGGCGCATCAAGCCCACCCCCTCCGCCTCACGCAGCGCTAGGAGCCTGGGTTTGCCTTTGACCCCAGCCTTTCTGCTCAGATACACACAGAGACGTTTATTGGGTCTGCCTCTAACATCGTAACTCAGCGAGCACACACGCATCTCCTAGGCAACTTGCTGCCTCCGCGGCCTGACGCATCACGTGCAGCGCCTCGTGACTGGCTCTTGGCCTCTCCATGCAGAGTCAGTCATTTCTTAATAGCTGGGCAACAACCCCCCGCCCGCCCCGAGCCCCATGGTGGGCACTTGTCACTAAGAACAGCTGTCCCGGACTTGGCCAACCTGTCCTACTCCGTCCCGGGCTCTATAGGACGGTGGCTGGGCTGGGTCGGAGCATTCTGATGCTTGCAGACCGAGAGCCAGCTCACAGGGGTGCAAGCTGTACAGGCCCTCCGTGCACACACATACCCAGGCGGGGCCCAGATGTGATTATTTTTCCACTTGTGAATTGACACATGCCGCCCGCACCAGCAAAAGTGCTGCTTTGTGATTTCCTTGTCGACCACACGGTGGAGCCTTTTGTCAAAGAGAGGCGCAGAGCTAGGGCTGCAGAGACAGGGCTGCAGGGACAGGGCTGCAGGGACAGGGCTGCAGGTCCTCTGCCATGCCACGAGACCCTCGCGTGCGCCCCACTGTGGGCCCATGTGCCCGCCTGGCGACAGTCCCAGGTTCAGGCTGAAACGCCCACCTGCGAGCCCCACCGCCGCCCGGCTCTCGAGTTTTCTGAGTGGCACAGTCTGCGACATCTCTGACATTTGCGATGAGCACAAACACCGGTGTTTTTCTAAATGTTAATGGGTTTCTGTGCCCTCTGCTGGCTGCTTCGGCAGTCAGTGCGCAGTGCGGAGGCAGAGCCCGGTGACTGGAATTTTCCTCTTCCCCAGGAGCTTGTTTTCCTCTCCTGCAGAACCAGCCGAGTTCAGAACGCACTTGTGCGCAAGTTGCGGAGAAGGCCCCCTCTGCTTGCTATCAGAATCAACAAGTGCAAGGGAAATTATTCATCTCCCACTTGGGGGAATTATTAGTTCTAGACAGAGACTCTTATTGTAGAAGAATTTACGAGGCTCTCTGGAAACAGGGAATGTATTGATTCCCAGTGAGTAAACATTTTAAGCAAATTAAGTGGTGGTTGTGATAATAATGATAATGGTTACCATTTTTCAAGTGTCAGTTCTGTGCCCTGCATTTAATCCCTCTAGTGACAACAGGGGACAGATTTCATTATGCAAATATGACACAGGAGGAAACTGAGGCTCTAAGAGGTACAGACGTGGCCTGGTGCCAAATGGTAAATGGCAGAGAATTCTGACCAGGTCTGGAAGATGCAAGGCCAGGTGTGTCCCGGGGCACTGCAGGCTCAGGCTGCCGGGGCCTTGGGTCTTGGGGGCTCCATTCCCAGCAGCTGTGCATTCCCCCAACATGACCAGCTTGGTGAGAAGCAGGGGACACGCGCACTGCATGAGGAAGTTAAGGCTCTGGGTCACACACCCGGCCCCCCAGAGTCCCAAAGCAGGATGCTGTGAGGCAGCATCAGCAAGCCTGTTTCTTCCCAAAGTCTGATCTTGCTGTCTGGCTGGTGCCCCAAGGTGTCAGGGAGAAACTAGCCCAAGAGGACTCTTGCTCCATGTTGATAAGAAAAGCTGGCACTGAAGCCCCAGGGGAGAGAAGGCAGGGCGCTGGAAGCCTGGTGGGCCCGAGCCCCAGGCGCTCAGAGGTCCCCAGAGTGGCCAAGAGTCTAGAGCAGCAGGTATGTAAAGCAACCCCAACGTGCAAGTGCACATGTAGCAAAGTAGCTCCAAAATTTGCTAGTGCATGTCAACCACCTGCCCAGCAGGTTTTCTGTGGGTGGTAGGGGCAGCACCCCTCTGCGAGCCCTCAGTGATACCTGCAGTCTGCTGCAGCCCCCGTGCCATAGGTTCACCAGCACAGGTGCAACCCGGACTGATTTCCATGCGATGGGGGGGGCTTTGGGAGAGGCGGGCTATTTGATCATTGTTTTAGCTTTTATGCTGCCCAGGGCCCAACACGGCTAGGCAAGGGCTCTCCCACAGAGCTGCACCCCCGTCCCCAACAGGGTGGCCAGACTGTTCTAAGCAATGATCACCCAGCTCCTAGGAGTGTGTTCAAATGAGCCTGCACACAGACTGACCCCAACCATCACCACAGAGAGCCTGGAACTTGCCCAGAGTCTTGCTGAATCAGGGGCCTGTAAAGATCCAGCGCTTGCCCCCCAAGTCATGGGCCCCAGGGCCAGGCACTTGGCTCTGCCAACGACAAAGACAGCTGGGCTGCGCTCATGCCAGACACACATCCTGGACTGATGCCACCGGTTAAGAGGGGCCCATGCCCCGCAGCACCAGCTCGCTAGCTGCGGGAACTGGCCCAGCAGGCTGTGCTGCTGCATGTCTACTTATCGACACCAGAGTGCGTGCATGTGCCAGGAGCAGGGTTTCCATTCTGTGTGGCTGCTAAACTTTTCTTTTCTTGACTATTATTGTCAAACAGATGGGCCCAGCCACATAAACTGTGCAAGACCACGTCGTCGACACAGATCTTCCTGGCTGTGACAGCAGGAAACACGGCCCATTAATTTAAAAGCCAAATCCAGTTATTGGAATGTAAGTGGTTGCAAACAGAACTGTGGTGTGAAGGGACCTTTGCCACGCGTTTCAGCAATGGACGACTTGCAGGATGTGCTCTCAGGAACCATAAACCCCTGGGGAGGTAGGGGCGACGCGGGTCACCCCACAGGGCCTGTGCTTGTTCGCTAGCTGTGGCTTCAGGCTGAAAATCCTCCCTAGGGAACTTAGGTTGTGTCTGGCCCTTTTTCCAATGAAGCAAATCAAGTGTGACAGGGAACGGCAGTCCCCTGGGAGAGCCCCCCTTCACACCTCGCTCTTCAAAACTTCAGGCTGACACTAAACATCCAGGAGTTCCGCTGCCAGAAAGCTCGGCTTCTGCTCTGGAAGCTCTCGAAGGATCTGGCAGTCTTCGGCTCATCTTCCCTGCTGTGGCATGCCTGGCTCTCCCCACTCAGGGCCAGGGGGCCCCGGTGGAAAGTAGGACCAAGGCCTGAGTTAAGGGTAGACCACCGCAAGGGTCTGCCAGAAGGTAGGAAGGGTGGAGAAAGCTCCGGGGGCACTGCTGGGGCAACCGGAAGAGGAGGCGGCTTGATTCTCTGCTCTGAGAACGCCACCTGCTGCACCTTCCACCATACCTGAGGCCAGCAAGTCCCCCTCAGTGAGGGTGACAAGGGGCAGCAGCCATCCCCTCCCCTGTTACTTGGGCCCCTTGACTGTATCTGTCAGTAGATGGCTCAGAGATGGCTTGGCCAAACGTCTGGAACATTACCAGCCAGGGCAGCGTTTCGTTTCACAGGTTTCACCAACTGAAATTCACAGCCCACACGACGCACGACCTCCCGACGTCTGTGGCACTTGTTTTGTACAATAACAATAGCTCTCTTGTCATTACTGTTATTACCCCTATTATGCCGGTGCATTAGACGGTCTCCAGAAAACAGAGGAGGTAATTGGTTTCCTATCACCCCAAACAGTGGGATTGGACACAATGTACAAAATAGCTTAGAATTCCAGGCTGGCACCAGCACCTGCGAGGTCGCTAACAAATTACTAAATCAATGCAGGACTCTACACCCTCCTGGAGCCCTGGGCAAGCAGGACAGCACGCTGGGGGCTGAATCAGCGGAGTCTTTTTTTTCTGCTCAGATGGCTGTGGTGGAGGCCTTGGTGGGGTTGAGCTCTGGACAGCCCCCCACTGCGCCCTGCCCCAGGCCTTCCAGGAGCCATGTCAGGGTCCTCCCAGCCCCCAGCTGGGCATTGCCTGCCTGAAGACCTTCAGCTTGCTGCGGCCCTTGGCCCCCGACTTAGCCAACCTGTACAGGAGGAACATGCGCCGCTCGCTCTGCTTACGGTGCAGGCGGCGGGCAGTGGCAATGGGGGTCTCCCCATGGGCGTCCTTGTCGTAGATGGACGCCCCGTGCTCCAGCAGGAGAGCGATGCAGTCCAGGCGGCCCATGGCCGCGGCCACGTGCAGGGCTGTCCTGCCCACCGGGGACCTGCTGAGGCAGCTGGCTCCTGGAAGACAGAGGAGTGGATTGGGCTGTGCTGGCCAGGATCCTTGTCATGAGAGAGGCTCAGGGAACCCAGCACCCTGCAAGGCTGGGGCAGGAACATCCGAGTGTGAGCCCAGCCTGGGCAACTTAGCAACTGAGCCAGACCCTGTGCCAAAGGGCTGAGGAGGCAGCTCTGTGGAAAGGGTCTGGACCCAGTACTCACATTCCCGTCCTCACCCGGCACTGCCACCTCCTTGCTTTTCCTACCCCACTCCTGGCTCCAGGAACACCTGCCTCCTGCCTCCCCTCCAACGGGCCCTGCTCAGCACTCACCCCAGGCCCTTTGTATGTGCCATGTCTCCTGCAGCGGTACCCACCTCCCCCCACAGAGCTCACACTCCTTTGGGTTTCATTCACTTTCCCTGAAGACCCCTCCAAAGCCTGCCCTCCCCACACCGCCTCCTGCACATACTCAGCAGCCTCCTCTCATCTTCAGCACCCCTGTCTGTGATGGATAGACCCTGGGATTATTACTAATAGACTATGCACTTCTCCTAAACTCCACGTAGGCAGAAACACACTTGTTTTGGTCAGCATGGTTTTCACTGGGGCACATAGTGCGGGGCCTGGAGAGGTGACAGACGGCCAGCCGCCTGACCCATGGATGGCTCTCACCTCCACCAAATCCCTCACAGCAGAAACAGGAGACAGATGGTTCCCGCCATGTGCCCCTGTGTAGACTCGTTACATTGTATCACATACTGAGTAACAAATATCACAACACAGAAAACAAAGCAATTCAATTAAATTCAGCTGACATTTCTGGAGCCCTTTCCTATGAGCTATGGTTGGTTGGTGGGGCAAAGTTTTAAATAGGCTCTCACAACCAGCACGGGCCTCAGCTCTCCTCCCAAGCAGCGCCTGCAGAGGACGGGAAACTTTGCAAAGCCGGCTGTCATTTTTAACCAGTGCCTTCAAATATATCACAGTTCTATCAGAGTGAAAATGACTTTTTATGGGCTTAAAGGACTACTGGGCTGTGGCAAGCCCATATTTCATCTTCTACCAGAGAGAAGCGAAGGGTGGTGGAGGAGGCAGAGAATGCAGCGGCGGCACCCGCCCCGCCACAGACGTTTATGGGCCCAACACTCAGCCTTGTCATCTGGCTTCCAGCTCAGGCTGGGAGAGAGAGGCCGCAGGACAGCAGGCAGGAGAGGGATGTGGTGCGGGTGCAGTGGGGGGAGTCCCTGGTGCACGCTCCCCCTGCACGGCCTTCCTTACGGTGGCCTGGGCCATCTACACTATAGTCTAAAGTGGCTTTCTCTTTCGGTACTGTGGATGGAACCCAGGGTCTTTGCACTGAACTTTATCCCTAGAACTTGTTTTTGGAATGACTTTTTGTTTTGTGTTTAGTTTCTTTTTCTGACTCTTTGAATCAGGGTCTCATTATGCAGTTCAGAGGGCCTTCAACTCAGTTTGTAGACAACTGGCCTCTGACTTACAGCCATCCTCCTGCCTCAGGCTCCGGAGTGCTAGGATTACAGGTGTGCACCACGATGCCCAGCCATATGTTTAAAATACACACACACACACACACACACACACACACACACACACACCAGTCTTGTTAGGTGGCTAAGTTGCCCAAACTTGCATCCTCCTGCCTCAGCCTCCTAAGGCACTGAGACTACAGGCACATGCCACCACACCCGGCTAGCCTCTGTTGTTTTTGAATGACTCTCATCTTAGCAGATAGCGTTCCTTCCCAAATATCCCATACCCAGAGAGAATAAAGGACACTCCTGCAGATGTTCATCCAAACTACTTTTGTTCAGAGACACCGCTGGCTAAGGCTTCTGTTTCTATGGACAAAAAGACATGGAGAGGTTCCCAGGGGATAGCTCAGCAGCATAAGTGCCTGCCTGGCAAGTGCAAGGTCCCGAGTTCAATTCCCAATACTGGGAGGAAAAAGGAGAGAGACATATGGTTGCCCTTAAATAGAGAGTGGGGAGAGCTGGGGATGTCTGCTTGCTTAGGAAACAATCAGAAGAGGTGAAAGGATGGAGAGCTCACAGCCTCCCACCCCCTACACAGCTGCCGCAGCTGGGCCCAGCCAGTGCGGCCCGTGGCAGAATTCTAGGTTCGAACAGCACATGGTGCTCCCAGCAGCCTGTCTCCTGGGAAATGTCATGCAAGGAAACCCTGTGGCCACACTCTTTGGCTCAGTGTCCTGCACATTCCAGAGGTGTGGTTCAGAGAAGGACATGGCTTCCAGCTGGTACATCCTGAAGGCACATACATTCCTAGGAAGGACCCAGACAGCAGGGGCCCTGCTTAAGGGGTGACAACAGTCTGGTCCAGGAGGCCACCAGAAGAGACCAGGAAGAGACAATAATGTGCCCACCCCGACTTTAGCTATGATAAAATTCGTCCGCAATTACCATGTTCTAGAAGGTACCGCACAGCCTCAAAATGCCCTCTGTGGGAGGTGACATACAGCGCCACAAAAGCCCTCTGAGACGTCCACTGCTTCCACTTTGCACCCTCAAGACGTTCGGAATTTGCCGTTCGGTAGAAAGAATCTTCAGTGATCCCAAGACAGGACAGCTGGGCAAAAGAATCGCAGTGTGGTTATTCCCAGGAGTGCAGATTGTTCTAGAAAACAAGGTGTGAGAGGCTAGAGGCTGACAGGGATTGCCGGGAGGAAAGTTTACCTGACCCTAAACCGAGTTATGATCCATGATGGGAAAAGAGAGGTGTAAGTCCTAATGCTTGGTGGAGAAGGTGGGAAATGCCACGGTAGGGGGGTGAAGGACGTGCAGGCACCGCCAGCCAGGCTGGGGAGGCAGAAAGCTGTTCCTGTCAACACTTGGAAGAGAGAAACTGGCTCTGCCGATGCCCAGGGCAAGGTGGTTGTGGTCGGTAAGTGAGCCATCAGCCATCACAATATGGACCCAGAGGGGAGCCCAGGAACAAGGAAAGTCCTCCTGGGGACATGATGGATTCTGGCCTTCTGGTCTGCTTTTGTGGCCACTGTCCCTGCTGCCTTTTGGACACTCTGAACTCACCCCCAGATGAACAAGGCAGCACAGAACCATCTCAGGGTGAATCAAGCGTGGGAGAAAAGCTATGGGGGTCCCTGGGTGTTGGGGTCAGGTGGGGGAGCCAAGCAGAAGGGAACAGAGGAGAGGCAGACATGGGACAGAGGCAATGGCAGTTCTGACTCAGGAGCTCAGGCCAAGCAAAATAGCTCCACACCCAGAGCAAAAGCCAGAAAAGCAGAACTCGGATGAAATCCTTCATGGAAGAGGAGAGATGGGACTGAGAGACAGGCACAAAAGAGGAACGGTGGGGAAGGTACTGGAAGATGTGCAAAAGCTGGGACAGGACAGGGTCCCCACCCCTTCCTGCAGCATCCCCAGCCACCCCCAGGCCTTCCCAGGCCAAAGCCCAGCAGCTCTCGGACACCTACCCAGCGCGGGAGCTCCAGCGCCTCTTCCCCACCATACCTGTTCTCTAGAAAGTACGCTTGTGTGGAGCCAGCGAGTCATATTCCCTGATCAGGAACCTCCTGGTTGCTGCGCTCCCTCCCCACCTGGTCCAGAGCCCCACAGGGCCCAGCAATAGCTTTGGAAACAGCCCATGCCTCTTGCCATCCCCAAAATCTGGACTTGCCCTGGAGAAGAGTGGACCCCTGTGTCCTTGTCACACACAGATTTGCACTGCACTGCACTGCACCTTAATAATCTGGACTTCTTCAGTAGTGTTAGATTTTCAACTTTTTAGACTAGCCATAGGAAGGGAAAATAGGTCCCCTTGAGTCCTTGGGGACAGTGTATTATAATCCATAAAGAAACCCAGTAAAATCATAAACCCAGAGGGAAAGGAGACACTTGATATGGAATTTGATAATCCTGACTTGGTCCTTATCTTTTTTCTTTTTCCTACTCTGAAGCCTTGACTCAAATATTCATACCAAAGCCTGATTTTCCTTCACAGTTTATGGTTGCTTCATGTAACATTGTTTCAAAGAAGCACAAAGACACCTTATTGGGGTCCCCTTCCACTGCTGCCACCACCAGATCTGTCCAGCCGTCATGATGCCAGATACATAGAGAAAGAACTCCACCCGGAATGATGTCATGGAACCTCAGGGTAGTGTCATCCATTAAATCTCCTACAGGGAACAAGTTTTCCTTTAAAACAATTTGTGCATTACAGACAGACTATTACACTGGCTAAGAGATTATCTGACCTTAAATATCGCGGAAATAATTTTAGAATCTTGAAAAGTCTCATTTGATGATTCCACATGAGTCTGTTTGCTGTCGTTAATGCTTTTTAGAAAATTAATTTGGCTCAGCTCAGACAGAAGCTGGACCAAAGGAGTGCGTGTGTGTGCTCATACACACACACACACACGCGCGCGCGCGCACACACACACGCACACAATCAGACAAACAATGTCTACAATTTATAAAATTCTGTAATTATAGCTTGTCCTGTTGTGAAAAAGAATACAAGTCGGTAAAGTAATTTTCTGAGGTAAAAACTCTATACAAAGAGCTACTTAAGCCTGAAGTAACTATGTATTATAGGCCAGGAAACATGTACCTACACAAGTTATACACGTTCAACTAAAATACCAACTCCTCCTGAAATGCTGCCATTAGCTGACTAAAGAGGAGACTGACAAAAAAAAAAAAAAATGTTGGATAATTCAAATGATGGCCTGCGGAAGGGCTTGTCAGACATGGCACCAGTGACATTTTGAAAGAAATAGTTCTGTCCTACTACCTGCAGGACATTCAGCAGCAGGTCCAGCCTCTACCCAGCAGAAGCCAACTGTACCTATCACCGATTTCACAGTCAAAAATGGCTCCACATATTGCTGATGGCTGCTGGGGGACAAGACGGTCCCAAGTAGACTTCTTATGGTGACATAAGAAGCCAAGGCTGACATTCGCCACACCTGGAGGCCAGAGCTCCTCTGCCCATTGTCACCCAGCAAGGCACCTCCTTCCTGTGAAAGAGCGGGCCGAGACACAGGTGTGGCAGGAATCCAGACCCTGAGGAAGGCTGCAAGCAGCAGTGGAGAGAATGGCATGAAGAACATTTTCAGAAAGGGCAGCTGGGCCTAGTTGACCTATTTGGCACATGCCCACTTGGAAGCATGGTGGCCACCTCCAGTCTTGAAGATAACAGTACAAGTCACTTCTGTCATAAGCAATGGCAAACATAAAATCTCAGATGTGCCCAGGCCAAGTCACCTTGTATTCTAAGGGGCAGAATTCCCGAAGGTTCTTCTTCCCTGATGGAGGGGTGGCATTGGGCCCATGTGCCAGGTACTTTAGTCATTCCTCTGTGCTTGTGATCAATGCCGCATCCTTGAGTCCCCATGACAACCTTCCAAGGCCAGCGGGCCTCCATCTGCCTGCGCACATCAAGGCTTGTCCACACGCCTGGGCAGAGCGGCTTCCTAGCTGACTTGGGCGGCCGTTCTCCAGAGCGTGGGTGTACACAAGGCGTACTGATTTGCAGACCTGTTACCTCGGGTCCTGAGTGTGGCTTGAAAGCGGAGGATAATAAGTAATGAGTGTAAAGACAACTTGACTTCCTAACTACCAGAAATACTGCGGGATACGCAGGCATGAAGAGAGGATGTGCTCCTAGCGAAGTTGCAGCTCATCTGTTTTACAAAGCTGTCACTGCCTGGGGCTCCAGCACTGATTATCAGCAGCTAAATAAATTATCCAAGTTGGTAACAGATGTGGAGGGTGACCCCCACTCATGAATTTGCTCACCCCTTTAGATTTGTGCATCTCAGGATTTTCACACACATGATCTCATTTGATCTTCTCCCTACAGCCTCTGAGGTGGGCAGAAGAAGTGTTGGTTGATTATTTATGGGCAGTAGCCCAAATTTCTCCCTGCACCTTCTCACTTGCTTGCCAAGCACAGTAAGGACTGCACACAGAGAGAGGTCAAGCTTGCAGCAGTTGCTAAGTGACTGCTAAGTGATAGCATTGTGACATCACAGTTAAGTCACCCCATCTTTCTCTCCCTCCTAGCTGCCTTGAATTTATTGCTCAGCATAGCTCATCAGTGAAAATAAATGAACAGAGGGGGTCCAGACATTGGTAGTTGGGGATACATAATTTTCCAATTGCTTGTTGGGGAGCTCTTAGGCCTTAATGATTCACTTTATTCTTATGTTAACTGCAGACTAGACTCAAGATTTGCTAAATAAAGCCTCCAAAATGCCCAAGAGCCTCTTCTGAGACTCCTACAGGACAATATGGCATGAAAAATGGTCAGCTTGCTTGCAAGAATGCAAAGAAAGGAGCTTCTGGCCTTCCCTACGCATCGGAGGCTTCCCAAGTCCATGCTGTCCACAGAGGGAAGGGTAATCCGACTGCAGTCTTGCTGATATCGGCGCTTCGCCTTCTGTGCAGCAACACAGATATTTTTTTCCCCATTATTTTCTTGAAGTGCTTTGCATTGCTTTCAGCTGGGTGAGGAGAGGATGGAGCCTCTCCCCACCCTGGGCTTCAATCCTGCTCTCACATCCTAAATAGTATAAGAACTGGGAAAGTCATGACCTCTGGTGGGGGGAAGGAGATGGATAGAGGGAGAAGAGAGTCTATAGGATCCTTGGCCTCCCCTGGGATTTGTCTGGATAGGGTGCCTTGGGATCCTGATTTAGGGATGGTGAGCTATAGGGACTGGGTTCTGAGTCTGGTTGGCATAGCTTTGAGCTCTTGGGCAAGGACACAACTTGAATTCTGCATTCTGATGTAGATTGGGTTAGTGTCAACACTGGGGATTGAAATGCAGACAGAATTCATTCTGGACTTGGGATTCTGATGAAAACAAGGTTTGGGGGAAATCTGTTCTGTGATGTAGACTCCTTGTATGGCCAGGACTTGTCTTGGGATTTAAGGTTCTCATGTATCCCCTGGATAGTAGGTCTCTGGGGGTTAGGGGTAAAGCAAATCTGCTTTGAGATTTGGGTTATTCATGGTAATAGCATCTGCTCCAGGATTTAAGTGTCTTGATATCGGCGGGGTTTGGTTAGAATCTTGGTGTGGATGGGCAGGTTCTGGCTCAAAGATTTGAGTACCAAATACAAAGTTTGCTTTTAGTACTAAGGTCCTGGCACAAGCCTTGCTTTGAACCTTGCCTTTCTGAATGGACATGTTTGGCTTCTGTCTTAGAGTGCTGATGGTTTCTGTGGAGGTTAGGCGTTCAGCTATGGGTAGGTTTGACTTGAGTTTTGATGTCCTGTTGTGGGTAAGATTTGTCTCATTCCTGAAACTCCTATGAGGACTTAGGGGTTCTGAGGTGGTCATGATGAACTCAGGGACTAGCTCTCATATGTGGACAGAGGGTATCCAGATGTGGACAGGGTTGGCTTTGAATTTTGGGGTCCAGAAATGAGCAAGGTGCATTGCGGGCTTGGGCACCCTTAGGCAGAAGTGGCTGATAGGCTGGGGTGTAATGCCCAGACAGTGAGATGAAGGTTGGGCTCAGAATGCATAGCTCTTCTGCGTGAGGGCTGTGATGTGAGAGCCACCCTAGGCTTAGGGTTCTGCTGTGCCAAAGGACAGCTTGGGGACCTGCGGTGCAGAAGTGGCAGTGTGTGGAGTGCATGGGGCCTTGGGCAGCTGAAGTTTGCTTTGGGCTTTAGTATCCCTGTGTAGACAGACAACCTTGTGGAGGACTCCGGGTTCTGGTGGTCATATGGCTAGCCTAGGGATTTGGGGCTCAGGTTTAGCCAAGCCTGTATTTGGCTTTGGGGTCCTGAAGGAAGGTTTGTTTTGAGATTTCATGCCCTCATGTGGACACGGTTGCCGAAGGATTCAGCGTTCTCAGGTAGTGATGGGTTAGCCTGGATATTTGGGGTTCAGTCTTGGGCAGGCTGGTTTTGGGGTCCTGAGGTCACGATAGTTGTGTCACCCCGGCATGGGCACAGAAGGTTAGAGTAACTGCATTGCTGATGGTCACAAGTCTGCATGATCAGCTGGGGTGTGAGCACCTGGAGGAACTATGGGTAAGAAACTAAATCATGTGTCTACAGAGGGTTGTGAGGTATCTCCAACGGATTCTGAAGAAGTGGCAAGTTTGCCCTGGATGTTAGGGTCCTAATGAGAACACATGTTGCTTCAGATTTATAGTCTTAAGTGAATCTGGGTGGTTGGAGGATTTGGGTCCCTTATGAAGAAGCTGCAATGGATTGTCCTTCTGTGGCTTTGAGATCTGGGGATCCAGTAGGAACAAGATTTGTTCAAGGTAGATACATGTTGCCTAATATAGACTGCACTGCAGATTTGCTTTGGGATTTGGGGTCTAATGCGAACTCAGTGTGTCTGGGCTTGGGAAGTCCCTATGTGGTCACAACCCCAAGTAGCTCTCCCAACTAGGGTTTCAAGGTAGCTGGGGTTTACTTGGACATCTGGGGCCCTCCTAAAGGTAGGTTTTCCTTGGGGACTCCATCAGAAATGGTCCAGGTACCCCCGGGTTTGAGGGAGCGCTTGTAAGGTAGGAGTGGGTCGGGTGGGAGACACCTTGGTCCAGGTACTGCAGCCGCTGGAGGTTGAAGGGGATGCCGGCCATCAGGTCCAGGTCCTCCTTGAGCTCTCGCACGGTCATGTCGCTGCGGCAGTTGGCCATGCGGAACATCTCCCCAGTCTCCTCCAACCTAATCCGCAGGAAGAAGACATCTGGGACCAGGTCAAGCGCCTGCGGGTCACTGGCCAGCTGCTTGCTTCGCCCGCAGACCTGGGCCGAGGGGGCCACGTCCAGCGACCGCAGGGCCCCCGTGCCGCTCAGCCTGCCTGCCACAGGATCGCGGGCAGGGGGGTCCCCCGAGGGCTTCTTAGTCCACGCTCCTCTCGCCCCCGCAGCTGCCCACATTGTCCGCGCGCGTCATTCCTGCTCGAGTGCGGTGGCCGCGCGTCATCAACGCCCCCGCCGCCTGCGCCCAGCCCGACTGTGACGCCCAAGCCTGCGCTAGGAGCCGCCTCCACACGGGGCTCGGGAGGTCGTCCTCCGCCCCCCCCCCACCAACTCTCCCCCATCCCCGCGCGTGTGGGAGCCCCAGAACCAGCATGGTTTACCACCCGCAGCACCACGCTCTGCCTGGGGACAAAGAAGCAGCTTCAAGAGCTCTTAGATTCTTAAGTAAAAGCAAATGGACACAGCCGCCCTGAAAAGCAGAGAGATTGGTGCCGGCCAGGTCCAGCCCCTCCTCCGCAGCTTCCAGCCACTGCCCCTGTCTTTTCTTTGCCTGGGAAACGGGAGGGTGGGTTCTTGCGGCTGTTGGGAAACTTGGCCCCTCTTTTCCGGGTCTGTTTGAAATACAATCTTTGCATAATTTACAGCGAACTATGTGGAGGAATTATGCATAAGAAACTAAAATATGCGTGTCTACAGAGTTGTGAAGCGGGGCTCAACAATATTTCCAGCATAAAGGGAAAACCCTCTACTGCAGAAATACGACTCCCTTCAGCAGAGCCCTCCGGACTGGTGGAGGACTTGGCACCCAGACAGGACATTTACATTTGCAAAGCGGCATCAAGCCCTCCAATTTAAAAATGGTCACTCCTGGGGGGAAGGTGCGAGAAGAACCCTGACATGCTCAACTGGGGGCGTCCACCTGGGGGGCGGCCTGAGGGCTCCCAGCCGCCTCGGAAGCAGAAGTGCAGTGTTTGGCAGTCTCTGCCGAAGACCAACTGCCTGAGCGCAGGCAAGCCAGAAGCGCACTTGTGGGCTCCAGTTAAAGTGGCTCCTGTGAGCTGAAAGCTACCAGTGGCCAGGCGAAGGGGGACGAGGCCGGGAAAGGGCAGGGGCGCCAGAACGATTTCAAATAACTCCCAGTTGTTACAAAACAAGAAGAATAAAATTGAAGCTTTAAAAAACTTTTTTTTTCTTTGCAAAGAAATAACAACCATTAAAAACAAAATGCACTGGAAAGGCATTTGTATTAAACGACAGACAATCTTAACATATGAACTGAAATCGAGGTCATTGGCCAGCGTGTCTAGTCTCACGAGCCACGCTGAGGTTCAGCATGCCAGGGCTACCCCTCACCAGCTGAAGCTCATTGTTCTCCTTAGGGACTATTGAGCTCTGTATAAAAACAAGATCACAATTAAGTAATTCGACCTGCTGCTAAATCAACAGACTTTAACAACATGACAACCTTGTTTCCTAGAAAACAAAAATCTAAAAAATTTCATGATATCAAAACAAAACCACCTATTTACTTTGGGCAAGTATTAAATACAAGATTGTCTTTTTTTTTTAATGTAATCTCTAATTTAATGAATTTTCTGCCAAATATGCTGTTGCTACCCTGGCTTGAAATTCACTCATACATACCTTATTTTCTGTAGCACCGACAGTTTCCCTCCTCTTTAAAGAATCACATCAATGGAATTTGGGGGTTGGAAAAGGGATATGCTTTTTACCAGGAAACTCAATACAGTCTCAGACATTTTATTTAAAAAAAATAAATGACATACAAGAAAAGAGGGAAACCTGGAAACAGCTCCCACATCCTCTGCAGCCAGTTCCTGGGACCCCCACTCCCGCGCCTTTGGGGAGCTAAAAGCAGAAATAAAAATGGCAGCAGCCTGTGCGCCTGCAGAACTGAAGCTGGTGTTTTGGAACCCTGATTAACAGTCACTGAATGGCCAAGTTAAATTCCAGGGCATTTTCTCTCCATACAACATTTTAAAGCATGAATTCTAAAGTCCCCAGCACTGACGTCAACTTAAATCAACTGGGATTTGCTGTGCAATTTCTGATCTGAACTATGGTTTCCTATTTATTGCTGCTGAGCTCTTAAAGCCCTGAAGTCAATGCCCACGCATCTCAACTATCAGTTTCCCTCCTGAGTTCATACACATGTTACAAACAATATATCCACATAAAAATGCAAACACTTCCAGCTTCCTGCCCTAGCCAGGCCCAGCCCACATCTCTGTGCATAGACTTCCCGCAGGAAGGGGGCGCTGAGGGCTTCTGGAGCTGCTCCAAGTACAGCTGATAACAAAAGGACAGAATTTGAAAGACGACAGTAAGTCACTCTTTAGATTTCTTTATCAAAGGACCGGGAAGATAACTCAGTGGTGTAAGTGCTGCCTGGCAAACACAAGGTCCTGAGTTTGATCCCCAGTACTGAAGAAAAAAAAAGATTTATCACACTGTGTAATAGTAAACAAACTGGTTTATATTTGCAGCAACTCAAAGTGGCACATAAATTTACATGATGTGCTGTTTCAGCTCACTAACAGGAGGCTAATATTGATATTTTCATCCTGTTAAGGGCTATTTACATATATACAGTATTTCAGTTAAAAATAAAACATAACATCATACACTAGATTTTATAAGTAAGCATAAGGGAAGTAAATATGCAGGTCTGTTAAAGAATTAAGAGCATGTGATAAGCTACTTGATTGGGGCCAAGGGGACATCCAATAACAATCTGTCACAGAGAAATCGCTGGTAGGCAGGCAGATGGCACGGAGGCCCAATGCCCACCAGTGCCCCACAACCTCTGCACAGACTGGCCCCGTCAGGCCTGGAAGTGCAGGCGGCACAACACTGGTCTTGGCCACCTGAAAAAGTCCCTAGCTGGGGCTCCGTCCACAGCCGCAGACAGTGAAGGGTCAGTCACTTGGGTAGATGGCTGAGGTCACACATCTCTTCTCCTTCAGCAGGTGGAACATTCAGTTCACCTGCAAGTTCCAAGCCACAGGTGCCAAGCGTGAAGCCACCAGCCTGCAAAGCATCACCAAGGAGTTAATTTCGCTTTTCCAGGCCAGTAGTGTCTGTTACATCCTGCTGCTTTGGTTCTAGGGTGGCAAAAAAGGAAACATCCTGGTCCCGGTCAGACTGCAAAGCCAACACAGTCTCTTCAATGACTTCAAGATGAGGGTTACCAGCATTTCTAAAATATGCTAAGGAAAGAACAGAAGTGTGAATCGTGTGCCATGAACTGTGTTCTAAAACATACTCTAGTTTTCTTTTAATTTGGTGGTTTTAAACTGCATATCAGGAGAATAAATCATTTGTGGCAGAACAGTCATAGACATAAGTCCTTTCAAATAATAAAACACTTTAATCAAACTCTTCAATTTTAAAGATGGACTCACAATGGCTATGCATATTTTTAAATGTATAGTAACTGGCTGGGCATGGTGGCTCACAACTGTAATCCCAGCACTTGGGAGGCTGAGACAGGAGGACTGTTGTGAGTTCAAAGCCAACCTGAGCTACACAGTGAGACCCCGACTCTAAACAAGCAAACAAAATTATAGTAACCAAAAGTAGTTAGTATTGCTTTTTTCTCCCCCCCCCCAAAAAAAAAACCTATAACAAAATACCTTATAATGTAAAGAACACAGAAGAAGGAACAGATTGTTGGCAAGGGATAACACACACACTATTTAGAGTTTAAGGGAGGACCTTAAGCTGTTTCCTACATGTGGTGTAAAAACAATACATTCAAAGCACACAGCTTACATCAGGCCTTGTTCAGGCTTAAATGACAAACTAGGTTGGGTTATGTCTTTTTACTCACATACATTTAACAACAGCTAAGGCTGAAGCTTGTTATCTTTCCTAATTTTTCAAATCATAACTTGAACTTACAAGTTTCACCAAGTACAGCCGTGCACTCCTGCACTCCCCGCACTCTGGGATGCTGAGGCAGGAGAACTGCAAGCCTGGGCAACTTAGCAAGATTTGGTCTCAAAACAAAAAAAGTTGGGGATTTATCTTAGTGTGAAGGCCTTTCATTCAATCCCTAGTACTGTAATGACAGTAAAAGCATTTCTAAGTTTCCTGCCTTTCTAGATTCTATAAAGACCGAAGGCCATTCATTCCTTTCCTTAGTCATTTTACAATTGTATCACACATAAAAGTTGGCATGTTAATTTACATAGTACATCTTTGGTCTGCTATCAGACAACTGTCCCAATTTCCTGGAGAACATCTCGTCAAGGCCGAAGCTCACTGAGAATGTGTACCCTTTGCCATCAAGGTCTGTCGCAGAGCTTTGGCCAGCAGAACCCTCACGTTGGGCACAGGATCCGACTTGAGGCTCAGGAGGCTGGGAAGCAGGTGCTGAACAAACTGCTCCACAGGGACACATTCCTCGCTCACCACGGCCTGCAGCAATGGAGAGACACCCCACGTAAGCAGCGCTGATCCGGCACAGGACGGGCAGATCTGCCTCTCACGTAAAGCAATGGTTTCAAGATCTAAGGCTTGAGGGGGATGTATCTGGGAACCTCTAAGTCTCAAGCACCGCGCCTGGCTGGAGGCATCATTAATAGCAATGTCGCTGCTACTTTTTAGCGCTGGTTTTTGAATAGTTTAAGAACTAGAGGGGAAAGCATAGGCTCTGCGGTGAGATTTGATCTGTCCAGGCTCAAAACCTAAGCTGGCCACTGGCCAGCAGCATGGCCTTGGGTAAGTGGCTGACCCTTTCTATGCCTCAGTTTCCTCACTGGTACAATGGCAGGTCCCTCAGGCAGAGGAGCTACACTGGTTCTGTCATGCTGTATTCTGCTGGCCAGCAAGCGCTCCCCGTCTACCTCTGCGCTGCCCAGGACACACACACTGATGGCCAGGGCCTGCCTACCTGCCAAATCCTAAGCCTCACCCTGATGCCCAGAGCGCTAAGCAGCCTGGAAACACTGCACATTCCAGCATCTGCACAGTGCTCTTCTACCCGCAAAGCGTTCTTTGTACAATCCCTTCCTTAATTCTCACAACTAGCCTTCGTTGTCAGAATGTGCCCAGCTCCACAGGGCAGAAAATTCTGTCCTATGTGGTGATCACATCCAAAGGTCTGCCAACAGGTGGCAGCAGAGTGGGGACCAGAGGCGTATGGGTTCATGCGGGGCTGTCATATACACCCCTCTTTGAGCTGAGGCCAGCCCCAGTGCCCAGCCAGGGTCCTGTACCTGAAACAGTGTCTGGCACCTGGCACTCCCTTGGTGGCTAAAGAGCCACCCCCCAGGGCACAAGTGGAAATGTTCAAATCCAGTGGGTCTAACTACAAATCAGTCCCTGTACTCTTAGTGACATCTACCTAAATCTGTGCTCAAATACTGATCAACAAGACCCCTCAGTGGTATTCTTGGCTGTTGGGTACCCTTTGTTTTGTGGTTTTTCTAGATCTTTAATAATTAATGAGCACAACAAAAAGATCCCATTTATGTTTCTTGAACAATATTAGTTGCTGTCATTTCCTTTTGTGTTCACATTTTTAAAATTTTAAAGAATGAAAAAAATAAAAGCAAAGCTACTTCATTTTGGATTTGGAATCCCAACCTTTGGTTCACAAAAAGTTGTGCTCTGTAGCCTGCGGTTTGGATCTTGGCTCTTCAAGAGGATGGCCAGATTACCCCGCAATACCTCTCTAGCTCAACAGGGGGCGCTGTGGAGTCCTTTGGGAATTAGGCGAATTATGAGGGGAGAGAAGGGAGATCTGGAGTCTGAGGTCAGAGGGCATCCACCCTTGGCTGCACGGTACTGTTGGCCTGGCTGGACACGCATTACACGAGTCCCTTTTCCTCTGTGTGCTGGAAAATGTGTATGATGAAGAATTAGGATGTTTAAAATAACTTCAGAAGGAAAAACAAATCATGGCTTTATATTTCCTATGTGACCCTAAAGAAGTTACTTAACCTCTCTGGGCTTCAAATGCTTCATCTAAAACAGCAGTTCACACGTAAATGAGTTTACCACACCCTGTACACAGGAGCTCCTACAGGGACTCGTGTGTTGGCATCCTGAAGGCCTGGCAGGCAAGGAACGGCAGCCATCATCACTGCCGGCATCCTTAGCCAAGCAGAAGTCCTTCATCTCCAAGCCGGCTGACAGCGGGTGATGAGGGGCTGGATGAGCTGGCCTGGGCTGAGGTTGAACGGCCCCCGTCCGCCTTTCCTCCCAGCTTGCCCCTCCCCTACAAGGCTGCCAGCTGGTGAGGTGCAAGAGCAGGCAAGGCCCAGAACTGGACACAACAGGGCTGACCAGAGCTCAACGGCAGGGCTGGGAGAAGCAGCCTGCTGCATGCAGCCGTCTGCAGACGGTGCACGGCGCACTGCAGCTGCTCGGCACTGTCTGGGCCAGCCCTGGGCATGGCTCTCCCCTCACTGGCATGGTCTCCATCTCCTGCAGGAGAAGAGGGCTGGGAAACCCCGGCCCATGTGCCCAGCCAGTGCTCAAGGGCTGGAGTCTGACGGCACTGCGCAGCAAGTGCATCCACACAGCAGATTCTTCCCAGGCCACACTAACCTGGCAAATGAAAGCGAAAGCTTGCCTTCCAACCCACTTAGAGCAGTGCCGAAACCGAATGATGAGTTCATTGATGAAATTTAACCCCAGTGCACCTTCGCTGTTTGAATAGAACTTCTGCAGAATTGCCACAACCTATGAAAAATATCAGAAGAGCAAATTTAAAACAATGCCATGCTTGTGAACGGTGACTACTACTGCACATGGGAGCTGCAGAGTTTCATGCCTCTTCTACCTTTAAAATAAATGGAGAAGCATGAGAGAAAGTGATTTTTTTTTCACAGAAATCATTAGAACACAGAGAAAAATATATGTATGGCAGTTCAGTTAAAACCCTTCATAAAAATTTAAAATATCCAAGGTACTGGTATTAGCAAAATATACTAAGCTAACCTCCCAAATTTTAGGAATATATTCCTTTGCATAACTAAATTATCCCCCTTTAAAACATGTCATTTTTATAAAATTTTAATACTGTCAAAGTATTTTACAATCAGTTATTTTCAAATGAGATGGTCTTTGTCAGCATTTGGCCAGGACAAAGGCACATAAAACAGGATCAGCTTTTCTGTTCTGGATTTTTTGCTTACTAACGTGCCACAAAACCAAGCTGCAGGTATTTTTAAAAAACCAAAGCACTAAACAATTATTTAATGGTTCTGATATATAAAATGATTTATCTGCAATTTCCATCACCACAGCACACAGCTTAACAAAGGACCTGCGCTGCAGTTTGACATGATAGAGTTCTTAACTTTACAATTCAAAAGTCCATTTTATAGGTGAACTGAAAAACTAAGTCCAGAAAAAAAAAAAAAAAAAAAAAGGAGTTAAAATGGGATGTTCATAAATATTCCTATTTAAAACTCAGGGACAGAAAAGGCAGTGATTCCTTACTAGTTTGAAGGAGATCCACCGAACTTCAGAAACTTTATCTGCACATAATCTTAAGGCAATATGCATTAAATAATCATAAACATCATTGGGGTTATAGAGTTCCAAAATCAGTATCAGTTGTCTGAAAGAAAAAAACAAAATTATTTTTGGTCCAAAAAACAACTTACTGATTCTTTACTTTCATTTCCTCCCATAGATAAAAATAGTCAGGCTGGGAAATAAACCCAAGGGCTGGCAGGAGCTGAACAATCCCACCAGCAAGTAAATTAAGCGAACTGGCCATTGGAAGAAATATGAAAAAAAAAATTAATTTATCAAATATTCAGGCCAAATAAAAAGGAAATGAATTTTCTTTGTAAAATACAGGCTGAGAAATTTATGGACATAGATTTACTATTTCAATTTTAGGTTATGAGTTGAAAAGCACATACATTTTTTAAAAACTCAATTAAACATAAAAACAGCCCAAATGTTGGAATTCCTGCCCAAAGATCGACGGAGGGCGGCGGGCTCCGGCCGCCTGGGCGCTGCAGCCACGGCAAAGCGAGCGTGAAAGCGCGGCGCTGCGGGCGGCTGCCCGCTTCGCGGCTCGCCGCTCGGCTGTCAGCCGGCGAGGTCTGCTCGCCGAGAACCGAGCGTGTGTGCTCTCCCTCCAGCAGACAAAAGGGAAAAAAACATTGTGACAGCTGGCCGAGAAAGCCCACTACCAAGGCTCTCGCTATTTTCTAAACGGGGCTGGGGAAGAAGGGTAGGAAAATAAATGGCGTGATTTTCATCCCGGTAACCAAAGGAAATGAAAAAGCGATGGGGAGGAAGTTACAGCCAGAAGCCAGGAGTGCCGGTGAATACTTTCATATCAAAAAGCACTGTTTTCAGAAAAAAAAAGATACCAATATCATGGGCATGGGAGCACAGAATTCTTATCAGCTGCTCAGGCTTCAATAAGCGAGGCAGAGATGGAAGATAGGCGCGCTCGCGGGAGATAACCGCGGGGATGGAGCCGGCGGCTCGGCTCGGGGAAGCGTTAGCCCAGCCAGGCCGACCACGAGCCCTGCCACGGGCAGCCGCTAGAGGGCGCGATGCAGTCGTGGAAAACCGGAGCCTGTTTTTCTCCATTCTTCTGGAATAGTATGCCTGGAACATAGCATAATGACTAAACCTCAATCTCTCAAATTAAGCATAATGATTAAAGCTCACAGCAAAGAGAAAATCTTCCAGCGTGCCCCTGGCATCAGCCAAATCATATCCTGAATAGCTGCAAAAGCCTGATGAATTTCTTTGGGGAAGACAATTATTTGAGATCTAGTTGTGGATAAGAAAAATGAAAAGATATCAAAATGAATCTCAACAAGGCGGAAACTAAAACCCAAACAACCATCAGTACAAACAAATCCACGCCACATAATGAAAGCACATCATACTCCTTGAGAAGGGGAGCTATTTTAAATGACACTGTCTAAAATCACCAGGACCTCAAACATTCCTTTCCCTGCACAAGATGGAACTGAATAAAAACTCCTTCCACATGGAATGATGTACAGATATGAGCCACCTTGGGCAACATTTTTATTTAAAAATCGTCTCATTTGGGTTAGACCTTTGCAGCTCTCTCACTGTCACCCGATTTTCTTTAGAAGCTGCAGTACATAAAGCACGATGTACCCTACAGAGAGGATTGTGTTCAGAATGTTCAAGAAAGCTTTGCAAAAACTGCTCCGATTAATAGGAAAATATTGAAGAGTGGGTGATTCATCTTTTATTTGGTTCAAATAAATTGCCTTAGAGAACAGCAGAACACTCTAATTCCAGAGTGACTCCAGCCCTGTCGTCATGTGAAAATGAATGTTTCCCCAGAGACCGTGGTATCTAACTTACAGTTTTGAAATTTAGTCTATACCTTAATAAAACATAATCTCTTTATCTAAAAGAACATTATTACTGCTGGTTTAGAAATCAATTATAAGGTAGGAAAATTAAAAATTATTTTTTCTGATCTGCCTTCTCATAGCCCCAAATAGGATTTTACTTACTCTGCTAGCTCATACCGAAACCTCCAATTCCTGTTGTTAGCAGTCACTACAAATTCTTGAAGCTGATAAAGATATTCTCTCCTCTTGTCTTCATGGAGCAACTATTGTTAAAAATGTAGAGATATATATCAGTAAAAATACACCCCTCAAAATGAGCCCAGGGCCCCCTTTCCTTCTGCTCCCGATTATCTACTCGGCGTTAGCAGCAACGCTGCACGGCCTGCCGCCTTGCAGTCTGCGGCCCAGTGGGGCTGTAAGCTAACAACCGCAGCTAACAGGCATCGCTGCACCCTGCACGTGCCCAGCCTTTTTCCTGGTGGGTGTGTGTGCTTGTGTATTCCTACACGCCCCCTGGGACTTCCTCCTTTCATCGTTCGGTGAAGCAGCACTGCTGCATGTTCCAAGGCGGAGGCCACTGCCGCGGCTCGGCTGCGACGGCTTCTGCACCAGGCAGGGAGTCTGCTGCCCGGCTCAGTGCACCGCAGCCCTGCAGGGCAGCTCCGGGCCAGGTGGGTGCAGATGATCAGTTTCTGTAGGTCATTTTTAAACTCTTATTTTTACACTAATCATTCCTTAAGGACGAGAAAGAAAAAAAAATGGAAGAAGGGAAGCAGCAACACGCTGCAGACAAAGCCCTTTCTGCAGACCTGAGACGACTTAAGCCCAGGCTCTTTTCCGGGTGACTTCTGGCCAGGGTTTCTACCTCCACAGAGTGCTGGGCGATGCATCAACCCCCCTTTACAGAACTGCAGCTCCAAAGGACAGGAAGGGTCGAAGGAAAGATAGAAAACTGCTGCCCATAAATGAAAGAATACCCGCTTTATAATACTGGATGGTGCATTTCTACTAAAGCAATCAGGCAACTGCATTTGTTTTTTACTGACACTATACCTATTCAGGGTTTAATAAAACTAGCTGGAAAAGGAGAGGTTTTTCTGGTTTGCTTTTAACCCTTCTTCCTACCTTTAGAAAATCATACAGATGTTTAAGTACTCCTATGCGTACTTCATCCAGATCCTTTAAAAATCCATTGAAGACGGGCACCAGGTCAACAGCCGTCAACTGATCCCCCAGAATCACAGCTAGCTCATGAATAGAGAATGCAAGGGTCCGACGGACCTTCCACTAGGGGGGCAGAGCAGACACATGCATCACAAAAAGCAAGTGTAATTCAACATCCCTAACATCTCACGTGGCATTTCTGAAGCAAAATGGATGCTGCCAGGCGTCGGCCACTTCAAGCTTCATTTCATCAGAGACCAGTACACATGCCACTGTGCGTGCACATGACACTCAGGTCAACAAGCCTTGCTGTACCAGATTCCCTTTGCCTCCTAATGAAGTAGCCGCCTGCCTCTGAAATGGTTGCTTCTACCTGAACATCAGAAGCCAGCGTTTCATAGGTGCCTTTCAGACAGTGCCAGTTCTGCCTCCCCAGGGCCAGTGCCACCCCAGGGAGGCTGTAGGCACACTGTTTGGCTATGTTAGTGTCCACGGTCTGGGCTCGAGCAGGGTCCGTCATGGATACAAACTCATCTAGCAGAGGCTGAGGAATTACATCCTAGGAAACAGGAGAGAAAGGAAACCTCAGGTTTAGTAGGAAATAAGGTCAAAAAGAGGAATGAGCTTATGAAAAACAAGGAATATGGAGTTTCAAGGTGAAAACAGCATAGCAGAAATATGAGAGGAACAAGAGGTCTACCTAAGCCAAAGAGCTTTGGGCTGACAAGCTTGTTTTACCCAGGGACTGAGGTTTCAATCCTAACAGAAGTGAATGCAATCCCTACTCTTGTTTTTTCTAGCCTGGTACACCTGGCATCCCAGAAAACACTCCAGGCTAACGGTGGTGAACCTGAGGCACGCATGCCACAGCGGGCTGCCTGCATCAGCGGAAGCTCTAGCAGGCTCACCATCACTGGCCTCGGCAGTACCATCCGCTAGTGTGCCCACCCAGCTCTGGAGTGTGGAGACATCCTCGCTCTGCTTACATCCGCACAAGCATCTAGAGCCCAAGACCTACATTCAAGATGCTGCTGTTTTCCAGCTCCGTAAGACCTCACCTATTCATGTTTATCTCTGTACACACAACGCGTCATGATCACTTAAAACATTTAAGGGAAATTACTGGGCACAAGAAGTCAGTCCATAAAAAAGAACAAACTCAAACACAGTTCCACAAAAGCAGCTGTCAGCTTCCTAGACAAAGAAAACAAATGATTCATATACACAGACCTTAAACATCAATGTTCTTGGAAGTTCTTTTCTTATATTGGTTAGTTTTTATTAAAATAGTATATAAGACTGTTCAGAAGACTTTAAACAGAATGTTAGAATTTACTTTTTAAGTTAGAGGAAACATTAGTAACATGTCAACTAAGATATATAATTAATAGTGCTAGAAAAATACTGGCTTTCTATTCCCTCCTTCCCTCCCTCCCTCCCTTGCTTCTTTGCGCTACTGTGAACTGAACCCAAGGCCTTCTCACTAGCTGCATCTCACCTTCTGGCCTTTGTGTGTGTGACAGCATCTTGCTAACTCACTGCCCCCACCGAAGCTTAAGCCTGTGACCCTTCTGCTCCAGCCTCCCAGAGTACTGGAATTAACAGGCATGTGTCACCGCACTGAGCCTCAATGCCCATTCTTAGACTTTCAGAAATGTGAAAGTTTGAGTTGCCTTTTTTTCTTTTCAAGTAACAAACCTGTAAATTAGATTTATTCTCTTCAAGGGTAGTTGGTTCGAGCTTCTGCTGAGTCTCCAAATGGTCACTGGTTCCATCTTTGGCATCACCAGCATCCTGCAAAGTTGAGTGACACATTAGTGATTTATGCCAAGGGAGGAAGCTGTGCTACCATTTTCCTGCAGAGTCCTCTTTCGTGCCAGAAATGCCTTTGTGAGCCAACCCAAGAGCATGCCTTCAAGTCAGTGGTGTCTTTCCAGATGTTAAAAATCACATTTGTACACTTACAGACCAGTCATTTTAAGTGCTAGGGAAACACATTTCATACGCTTTCATTTCAAGGCTGTGTCAGGTCCTTAAAAAGAGCAAAGGCTGACATCAAAGTTGGGTGACTACCAGTAACCTGGGCCTACATCTACTAGCCTCTGGCCCCAGAGTCTCCCCAGTTCGGCTAGCCAACACCTCGAACACCATTCACATGGTTATGGGATGCCACCCCAAGAGGAACGATACAGTTCGTAAGAAATGGCAGAGCAAGGACCTACAGCTTTACTCCGGAATCAGAACGAAGCTCAGTGACTTCTGAGAGAAAACTGAAGAGACCAGATGGGGTGGGGAATGGTGAACCTGAGCGAAAAGATGTGGCTGATAAAGGAGTATTTACTTAACAAACTCTTCACAGTTCTCACGTGTACGAACACTCCTAACGTTTGGTGATGAACCTTTACATCAGGTTAACAATTAAAATGAGCAAGAACATTCAGCAGTGACATACTGGTCTCTGATCATTGATTAACATTAACTGAGATGAACCTGACCTTCTCCTTCAACCATAACATGGATTTCCAACTTGTACTTGAAATGTCATACTGTCTCCCAGCCTAATAGATTCTGACAAATCTGCTCAATATATGATCCGGGAAAGTCGATTAATATACTGATAGATGCTTCGTTTACTCTGAGGTATGCTACCAGAGCTTTCAATTCCCAAGGTTTTCACTGGAAGGTACTGTTTATTTTAACAGAATACATGATAAAACAGAAATATTTTGGTGTGATAACCTAAGATTTCTCTTGGGTATGGTTACCTTTTTTCAAGTTAATAAATTCATGTACCAAAATGGGTGGTTGGAATCACTACTGTCATTTTAGAAATTAATTTTATTCCAAAGTATTCAGTGCCGCTGTTATGTACTGCATTGCTTCAGCAGCCAAGTCAAGCCCCTAGAGTTCGTTTCCCAGCCTGCCCCACTTCGGGGCAGCACACTCGGAAAAGCTCTCTGTGCACCCACTGCTCACTGCCTGGCAAGCCCTTTTCTAGAAGAATCCAAGTCTTCAGGAGATTTACTGTTTTGAATCTACTCCACCATGCTAAACTCATAAATCTTCAAAAAGTTGTAGCCAGAGAGAGGGGCCTGGGGACAGGACACAGAGACTTCTGCCTCTGGTTTCCGTGTTCTCCAGAAGAGCCAAGCACGAGACACAGACCCCTCCTCTGCTGAGCACTGCGTGCAGAAACGGGCACCATCACCAGCGGCTGGGGCAGTCAGCACAGAGGTGCCCGGCTCCCCAGCCCTGGAGCCGCCCACCATGGCGCTACTTCTTCCCAGCGTCTTGCACAGGCACCCTTCTCTTCACTGTCCAAGCTAAGTTTCTGGTTCCTCTCCCTTCTTTTGCAGCTGGAGGCCTCAAGCTTGACCCACCAGAGTTCAGAGTCAAGCAGCAAATGTAAGAGCACTAACTCCGGTGCCATCAAAACACAGGACGTGGGGCACAAAGCCTCTCAAATCTCTTAACTCTAGGCCCTAATTTAGCAGAATCTGTTATTCTTTTTCCCTCCCTTCCTCTCTCCCTCCCTTTCTTTGTTTTCTCTGATAAATATCCAAATTGCACCCCTCCTAAGTCAATGCAGTCACATCTTTCCACTTCACACACATGATCTCTATAGTAAAGAACAAAGGTAACAACACTGAGTTTTCTTGCCAATTTTTAGAAACAAACCACCAAAACAAGACATCATCTCATGTCTTACTAATCAATGATAACTTTAACCAATTCTAAATATTTTATATTTTTGAGTTTTTATAGTTTTTGACCTATTTTGATTTACTCTAAAGGGCAATAAGTGACAAGTTAGCTTAATCACTGAAGCTAAATTACAAACTATATGAACAGAGAATTATTTCTTTATTCTCATCTGGAAGACCATGAGTTTGAAAGCCTGTCATGGCCTACAGTAGAGAGAAAGTATTAATTCGCCCCTGACTTTCACAATCACAGACAACTCCCTGGTTTAATTTTCTACCTTTATCCCTACTGTGGGAGGCCCCAGCTTACAGCAGTCCAAGCGCAAGCTTAGCAAGAAGGAACCTGCAGCTACAAGAGGCTCGAAGGCTTCTGGAGAGACTCAGGGAGACGCCAGCCACGCTGCTCCCTAGCCAGCTGCCAGGCCCCGGTCTCAACAGGAGCTGGCTCAGAGCTGCAGAATGAGAGCAAGCACTGCTGGTTTTTTAAAATCTACCCTCCAAGGAGCAGCACGGTAAGGCCACTGCTGGAGCAGCCATGTATTGAAAATCTCCTATCAAATGAAGGGCTCAGTGTGGTAATCATTCTCATTCTCTAAGGCCTCTGTTGACTTTAAATTCTAGAAATCGCATGAATTCACTCTCCGCCATTATTAAAAAATGTAAATGACTGTTACCAGTGACACAGAACATTTATACTGTTAATACCCCCAAAGAACCAGTTCTTGTCATCAGCGGAGAAGAGGGAAGGTACTTTCTGGTCCCTACCCTGCTTCCATAGAGGAGAATCAGAGTTATCAATCACCTGATTGATTGGTTGTCTAGTTATCCAAAACATGACCTTAAGAATGAAATGAAACTTGCCATTTATCTTCTCTGTGGGGATATATGAGTAAAAGAAAATGCAGCTTTGTGATTTCTGTCACCCCCTCAGTGGCTGAGGGATAGGGCAAATACTTACTGTGCCTTGTGATATCCTGGCCACGGAGAGCCCGTTCTGAGCTGATGGAGCTGACGGGGGTCTGGATGTCGAGGCAGGGCTGGGATCTGAAACGGACACTTCAGCCGGGCCTCCTGGCGGCTTGCTCTCAGGTTCATTCGTGGAGTCCAGCTGGGCAGCTCTCAGAGCAGCACACAAAACCTGAACTTGAGCTGCAGGGACAGAAATTTCAAAAATTGTACTAATAACTTTATGTGGCTCGTGGGGGCTCATTTCAGAGAAGTGTGCGCCGTGCCATGGGATGTTGGCTGTACTCAGACAGGCGCGCCTGTTCCTGCGCCAAAAGCTGCGTGGCAGCGCCTCCTCAGCGAGGAGCGGTTAGGGCCACCATCAGCAACCATTTTAAGTAAACTCAAGCTACATAAGGGACATCAAATCTGAACTTGAAAAGCCTCCATGAGGAAAACCAGAGTTTGACTCCACTGTCTTCCACAGAAAGATACAACATTACTGAACAGTGATGGCTAAGAGAAACCCCACCTTGGCATGGGATGTCCTTCTCCCGGTTTATAAAATAGGATGTACTTTCTCTACCCACCCCCCACAGAGCATACTTGTGCATGAGTCCACCAATTTAGTCAGCAACGATCTTACTAAGCTCCCAGGGCTACCTGTCCTTCTGTCTATGGAATGACTGAGGCTGTGTAATAGCGAAGGTGACAGACCCCACATAGCCTTCTATAAAAAATAAAGCTGCATGGGGCTGGAGAGATGGCTCAGTGGTCTAAAGCACCTACTTAGAACAAGCTTGGCAAAACACAGGGACCGCAGTTCGATCCCCCAGCACCACATGCCAGCCAGCCCGCCCCCTGGTGGGTTAGGCTGGCCACACACACACACACGTGCGCGCACACACACACACACACACACAAAATAAATGCAAAAAAAAAATTAAAATAAAAAAATTAAAAATAAAGCTGCATGTTTTCATGTCTCCACACTCTTACCACAAACTACCTTTGGCACCCTATTGCCACCAGTTAGATTCAACATATCACACAACTTATTAAAATATTTGGAACTTACAGCCGGCCTAGGACAAGTCCCGCCGTTCCCAGGGCAAGTCCCACCTCCTTTGGGAAGCACATCATGTCCTTCCCAATAGTGTGAAGGACATTCTGTGTCATGGGTAGCTCACAAAACGTGTCATTTTGTTCTCTGAATCCTTTGGGATTATAGATCCTCTTAAGACCTCCAGAAAAGATCTTACAAAGACATTAAGTAGTATATACATTCTTTCTTACAAAGAAACTAAGTAGCATATACATGTTAATATACTACAAACAGAGGCTTCAGGGAACTAAAACAACTCCCTGGAATTCATCTCTCCTCCTCTCCAAGCCCAGGTCAAATTCCACCTGTCCTGCAATGTCTTCTCCCAGACATCCGCTGCATCCCGGGGAAAGATCAGCTTCCTGCCTGTGCTTCTGAACACATCATGTCCCCGTCCTCCCCACAGCAGCGTGGGGCTGCTGCAGTCTCCTCAACGAGAGCCCCAGGGCAAAACGTGCCCATCCCTGCCGCCTGGCCCAGCTCAGGTCCTAACACTGCGGATCAGACAAATCCAGTAATGTGTTTTCCAAAACCAGACCTTTGTCTATGGCTATTAGATGTGATATGTTACACGCGCTCATTCCTTCAGCAAACACTGATTTAATTTCCTTCATAAGCTTAAGGACAAAGAATAATCGCAAGGCTAACTGGATCTTCACATCTCCCTTCCCGAAAGCTTCACAAATCTTCGTCCAGCAAGAGCACCAAGTGTTGTTTTTTCCAATTTCTCCAACTCGAGGAAGAATACAAATATAGCACTGTTTAGAGAAAGAGGAGTCGTGATAATGGATATGGATTGCAAGGTCTGGCTCTCAGATCAGACGCTCAGTGGGAGCACTAGTCATAAAATGAAAAATACCCCAAAGAAGAAGTTGTACTTTTCCAAGCAGTACAAAGACAGAAACCTTAGCGTTTAGCTAAAGGATGATTTAATAAGCTCCTAAAGGAACACCACCCTTAGCCGTTCGTAACTAGAAAGGGCATCAGACATGGGAAATAACGTCATAGCACCCCTGAGGCTAATGAAACTTCCACTGCACCCACCACTACAGATCTGCTCTGAGAACTGACTTCAGGCTTTGCACACCTGTGGGCAGGACAAGGAGCCACAGTCCTCGCACAGGTGCCATGTGACATGTCTCTGCCTCTACTGGCCATGGTGAAATGGAACCAGCCTCTTCCCCACACGCACGTACAGTATAAACAAGCCCAGAAGCCACAAGCATCAGGACACAGGCCTACGGAAGAAGTAGCCGTGTACAATGTACAACACAGAGGTTTTCTGTCCCATTTTCTCCTTAATGACACTGAAATTACCTTGAACATCTGGATCATTTGTCATATGCTCCTGTAGACTCCTGAGCACTTTCTGAATCTCACTCCTGGCCATACAGCTGCTATACACAGTCTCAGGTCTCATGCAGCCTTCTTCCTGAACCCCAGACTCACTCAGAAACAGCTCCACGTCCTGGCTTACGTCAGGGAGAGGAGTCCGCCAATAAAGGATGTTATTGAACACGTCTTCTGAATTCCCGGGATGGCTGTTGATGGGGGATTCGTCAGCAGGGGGGAGTCCTGTGGTCACACTGGCCCCGAGAGAAAGCCTAGTCAAAGCAGGACTCTGCTTTGGATTTTCTGCGAGGCCATGAGAAGAGCTATCTCCATGCTGGAAAGCACTGGTTTCTGTTGGTGTTCCTCCCAAACACAGCTCTGGTTCTCTCTGCACATACCTTGTTGGGTTGGGTGGAGGAGGGAGAAGCAGACTTTCAGAGCCACATCACGGTCAAGAGGTAACACAGAGAATCAGAGACCCGAATCCTCACAAGCTCAGCACCTTTCTCCTAACTCACCTCTAGGCCCCGGGTGACCTCTGGGGTCACAAAATGAAAACCTTACAAGTGAACAAGAGATCAAAGTAGCCCTCTCTGCACCAAGGGCAGTATGCTGTACACAGGAGATGCTACATGGGTGTTCAGCCCACCCTTCACTGGGTTCAAGTGCTGATGTGTCCCAGCTGCTGCAGAAGCTCCTTGCTGCCCAGAGCTAACCAGTTCCCTGCCTAGCAGTGCCTCCAGTGTAGGTAGGCACTGGGGAAAAAAAAAGGCATGGGAACTGGCAAGAGCTGCTTAGGTGTTACCCACCTTGCAAGTCTAGATAGGGAATAGGGGTGGTCAAATTATGCAAATATTAAATAAAATGTGCATCAGTAAAAGACATATTGCCATTAATCTTCCTTGAAATCATCCCATTTACTTCACACATATTTTCCCATCATTCTTGCCACTTTCTGAAGCAGTCCTGGAAGTACTCTTCTGGGAGTGTCTTTATCAGGTACAATAAAAAATACAGTGAATGCTGCTCCCGAATGCCGCCCAATGGAAAGGCAGACTTGAAAACATTATGGTGTATCTTTATCTGCCTTATCCACTGCACCCAGCATTATGTGAGTTCTGGGCTCATCCCCAAAGTCAACATGACCATAAAAGGTGCAAAAGCTTTGAATGAATACAGGATATTGAGGCAGCCACGAAAGCACAACTAAAGAAACAAAAGGGGCCGGGGAGATGGCTCAGTAGGATAAGCACTTGACTGGCAAATGCAAGGATCTGAGTTCAATCCCCGGTTCCGCCAAAAAAATAAAGAAATAAAGAAATAAAGAAAGAAACAAAAGAGGACTTCCAGAACTGCTTCAGAAAATGCTAAGAATGACGAGACAAGCATGCTCAAAGCATGAGGAAGTATTTTGAGGGGACGTTAATGGTAATGTATCTTTTACTGTAGTAAGTCTGTATAATTTTAAAAAATAATATTCGCTATACTTATTGATCATATTGTAGTACCTTCCAATCACATCTGTGGCATCTGGGCCTAACGTTTAGCAGGAGCTCGATGAATTCTGATAGATGAAGGAAAAAAGGAAGACTAAAGCAATCTTAAGAGGATCTCCACTATATGAGGTAGGACCTGACTGTCCTCACACCCCTGCATAAAACTAGCAGTGGAGAGACATTCATAAACTGCCTCAAGTGTGTGGGGGGTACACTGTCCTTACAAGAATGACATGAAAAACCCAGGATGACATGCCATACAAAACACTGTGTCCAGGAATGTCCCGCACAGAACATCCTACTTCACAAAAGAACATAGGACTTTGGGAAAATTTTCATTTTGTCCTACGTAAATTATCCAAAGAACTTCATTAATCAAAAAGTAAGAGAAAATTTTCTTTATAGGTTATTTAATCATTACTCTCAATGAATATTTTATCTAAATTTAGGAGACACAGTAGCTTCATTATTTATAACCCAGTAGTCAGGTTTCAAAATCATTATTGCAATTACTTTTTGCTTCTTTACATAATTAAAGCTCTAATATTCTATCTTGCCCAGAAGGTCACTATTACTAAAATTCCAGACAAGATAATTGCTAGAATTCTAGGTGGATGCTTGAGTTAAAGTGGGATTTCTGGCCAAGATCTCGCTAGGAGCATACCTGATAGGGGAGGCGCCCCCATAAGCACCAGGACTAGATGAGCCAGAGGTAGCATCAGCCCCCGGATCCTGGCGTGGTGGCCGCATGCTCAGGGTACCATCCTCTTGGATATACAGGCCAGCCCTGGAGGGGTTTGCAAAGGTGGAAATGAAGGGGCCAAGGGACTGGAAGGCAGCCTGGCGTACCTGGAACAGAGAGAAGAACAGTGCAGTGGAGGCCTGGCTGACTCAAGGCTCAGACATATAGCTGATCCTAGACACCTATCAGATTGGGTCTGTACAAAGTTATTCTCTCCTACTCCAGTCCCTAAATTCCAAAGAAACTATTTTACAATAGAAACTAAGCAGATCTGACGCCATTATATACTTTTTATTCTTTTAAAATATTAACTCCACAACAAATACTACTTATTGATCTTCACAGATGGGTTCACAGTGGTAACACAAAGACTACATACTCTCAATTCCAGGCTTATGACATTCACTTGCTGTAAATGTTGGGGTATTCTTCAATATTTACCTCTATGTTTTGCAGATTTTAGTGACCCTAGAATTAGATTTACACCTCACAAGATCTAAATATAATTACGCCAATCAGTCTTCGAAAGGACAAAATGCAAGTCCAGAAACTGAAGCAAAGTCCAGAAGCTGGACACAGCGAGCTAGGTAGACAGTGCCCACAGTACTTACTTACCCATCGGCAGGGGTCGCTGAGGAGCCCGATGAAGAGAGGGGAGAGCTGAGTCCTGCGGACCTCAGGGGAGGTGTTGTAGGACACGGCCATGAAGCACTCTGCGCAGGCTTTCCGCATACCCCATACAGTATCTGAGCAGAGCTCAAAAAACTTGGGGAGCTAGCAAAAATAAAACAAAAACAGTTACTTAAATCTGATGACTCTGAGGATGGGCAGAACCTGTCTTAATGTTGCAGTAAAGACCATCCAGAAAATAAGAACAAAGGGAAATATACAGTGCTCTAAAAGGAATAGTTGGAGAAAGACGGAAGTGTGATAAGTAGAACATTTGCTTCACCCACTATCTTTAGTTAAGTGACTTGGATAAATTTAATAAAAGAGAGAAAACTCCAAAAAAGCAGAATGACATATCCATCACATGAAAGGCAGGTACAGATTGTAAAGGACTGCCACTTAGTGGATGTCGCAATTAGCCTACTCAACTGTCACTGCCTCTGACTAGGCATCACGCAACTCTGTAGAGACAGAAAGCTATTACAAGCTGAGAGTAACACACATAATTTCTGCGGCAGAAATGTGAACTGTGTGTAGTAGAATGTAGCTGGTTAACATCCTAGACACTGACCAGTTTTGAGTCTTTTTGTAAGTTCCCTTTGGAATTCCGTGATTTGACTAGAAATATGAGGTACTCTGAAGTCTCCATGAAACATCTTACTGGCTTCCCCCAATTCCTAAATGAATTAAAGAGCATCTTGGAGGGTTTTTTGGGGGGGGGGGGGGGGGGTTTTTTTTTTTTTTTTTTTTTTTTGCTTTTTTTGTGTTTTGAGAGAGGGTATTGCTATGTAGTTCAGGTTATCCTTGAGCTCATAGCAATCCTCTTGCTTTGGCCTCCCAAATGCTGGCATGTGCTACTACGTTTAGCTGTTAAATATAATCTTTGACACAGGTTCATTTATATTTACATGGAGGTCATGATAATATTTTCTTTTATAAATTATCCTTTAAAAGGGTCTGGTTTTAATATCATAATGTAAAAAAGCCTAAAATGTCTCCCAAATGGGAGTATCATACGATCATAAGAAACACCTACCTATTCAATGATTACCACCCTGGTCACTGCTGTTCTTTATTCAGATACATAAGCAGAAGATAACAGTCCTCAAAGCAGCAAACCATTCAAAACTATTCTTGGGTTAGAACTATGTTGACATGGCCTACACATCCAGTAAACAAATGAAGTTCAGAATTTAGATTTTTAAAATAATTTAAAGTTTAGACTTTTTGAGGTTAAATTCCAACTATGCAGGCCATGTACCCCATCAAATAACAGTAACAACTGGATTCTGAGTGTTTAGCTGTCCTCTAGCTGCCAGGTACCAGGTAAGCCCTGGGGAAGCAGAAAGGACCGTGATGGGCCCCACCCTTAAGATCACCATACAAAAAACTCTCAAGGGGTCATGGGGTACTCTGACCAAAAGCCAGGTGATGGAGAGGGGACAGGGAAACACCGTGATACAGTGGGGAGGGGAGTCCGGATAAGGAGAGGTTACAGAGTGGTTTCAAGCTGGGTCCCACCAGGCAGGGAAGACACTTAGGGGGCAGGGGCAGTAATAAGCAGAGGCCTACAAGATAAAATAGCAGGAAACTTCAATGAAGCTGAAAGCCCCTAGCTGGCTGGTGAAGTAGTTTTCTACTGTGTTGTACATCAGAATCAGATGAGAATTTATTAAATATACAGATGACTGGGCTCTCCCCTCTACCCGCAGGGCCCCCAGGACCTAGATACCTGGCCAGAGGTGAAGTCCACACAGGCCAGGGGAGTGTACAGAACTGAGAAAGGTGATGGAGAGTAAGGCAGAAACGGTATTTCTCTGTAAAGAAACTTAAAAGGTCAGTGACCTACCAACCAAGAAAAAAATCCTAATGGTTTTGAGGCTCATGGGCAAGGCGATAGTGTACTAGAATGAGCAGCGCAGCACAGCAGGGACAGAGCAGCTGAAATAGCGAGAAGAAGTAAGGTACTCTGAACGGAAGGAGGCAAGAGCACATGCCAGAGGCAGGAGACCTGAGGCTGCCTCCATCCCATTCCCACAAGAGCTGTCTAGTGCTTAGGAAAAAGGGTAACTGTGAGAAATTTGATATTGCAGAACGCAAAACTCAGCGGCTATTCCAATAACAGACTTCTGAGCACAAAACCTGATAACAATTCAGAAAGTGCGCTAAGAAGATCAGCAATTAGGACTGAAAAACTTCACATACCAAAAATTTCTCTGTGGCTTCTTGTCCAACAGCATGACAAACATCACCAAAATTGGTAGCACACACCTTAAGAATGCAAAAGACACAGCCATTATTCTTAGCTTTCCTTCTTGTCTTAACACATTGTACGAACTAACAAGCAGGGACCTGGAGAGTGACCACCCCGCTCGTGGGGCAGCCAACAAGCCCTTACAGAGCCCAGCACCTACACCGCATGGTGCCAGGTGCCTCTGCCGCATCCAGACAAAACACTTACAAGGTACCCAATTCTAGGGTTTTTCTGGCTCTTAACTGATCTTGCTACAGAATGCATTTGGTTGGATGACGGAGAAAAGAGACATATTACCGTGTGCCTACTAAGGGAGGCCAGCACCTAGGGCGTGCACTATGGGGAGAGGCTAGGGCAGTGAGACCTGCAGGCGGCAGCAGCGGCTGTTCAGGGAAGGACAGCAAAGGGGTTCCAGAGGAAGAATCTGACAACTAACAGGGAAGCTGGCACTGGGGTTGGAAGGTTCCCCAAAGATGAGAGGGTTCTGACAGAAATCACCCCCCAAAATCAAAGACCTCACAGGTCTCATTAACAGTACCTAACCATCAGCCAGCAAGGTCCCGCCCCTCTCACCCAGCACCCAAGAAGAGCTGATTTTGCTCACAAAGGTTCTTACTTCTAGATCTCTTATGTATTTCCCACCTGCAATAAAAACTAGAACACTGTTCAGATACTCTCCTTCCACAGTTCATGCTGGCCACATTCTCCTCCAGACTGTGTCTATTGAAAAGCTAGACAGAAACCTTAGAGGAATGGATTTCGAATATTTTAACTTTTTTTTTTTTTTTTTTTCAGTACCGCAGATTGAACTTGGGACCTTGAACTTTCCAGGCAGGCATTTCTGCCACTAAGCTATATCCCCAGCCCCTAAATAATATTTTGAAACTATTATTTGAAACTTATGTTCCCACCTTTCGAACTTGAAAGAGCTTCCCATCACCACACAGTTCACAGAAACGAGGGAGCAGCAGCCGCTCAACTGTGCTCTTGCTCACCACTGAGGCCATTTTGCAGATTATCTGTAAAGAGCAAGGAAAGCGGAGTCAGCTGGAAGACCAGAGCGCTCAGATCACACACACCAAGACGCGGAGGCACAGCAGCTGATTTCTTTGAGAAACAGAAGACCGCAGCATGATTTTTTTTTTAATAAAACATCTAAAGGAAGAAAAAAACAAACCTGCGAGCCTACGATTCTCTGTCAAGAAAAACTACACTCAATATGAAGGTAAACAAAAGACACTGTTAGATAAGCCAAAACGGAGATTTCATCACCAGTTGACCTAAACTGTATAAAGTACCAAAATCTAAGTTCTCTCAGATGAAGGGAAATGACACCAGATGATAAGTCCGATCTACGAAAAGAAGGAATGAAAATCTCCCAAAATGGTAAAAATGAGAGCATAAAAGGCTATATTTTTTCCTTTAACTTCTTCAAAAAAATTCATATATATATATATATATATATATTCTCAAAGGATAAAAGTGAATGAAATGACACTGTTATAAGTTCCTATGGTTTCTACCCCTCAGTCACCCTGCTTCAGTACTGAGGAGAAAACCCAGGGCCTTTACACTGCTACACCTCCAGCCCTGTTTTACTTCTTACTTCGTGACAGGGTCTCCTTAAATCACTAAGGTGCCAGACTCGGCTCAACCTTGGGATCCTGTCACTCAGCTCCCAGAGTGCTGAGACTACTGGCATAAGCCACTACACCCAGCTACAAAGCTGTAGTTTTTAAAAATCCTTAAGAGAGAAATTAAGACACAATCTTAGAAAACATTCAGTCAACCCAACAGAAAAAAAAATTAACATAGAAACAAAAACTGATGAGAAAAATGAAAAATAAACAACAACATGGCAGAAATAAATTCAAACATATTAATAATCACATAAAAATAAATGAAGTGAACATTTCAATTAAAAGGCAGAAACTATCAGAATAGATATAAAAGGAAGACCCAACCATAAGCTACTGAAAGTAGAAACACTGACTACATAAATATATATAAGGTGAGAATAAAAAAATACAAGCAAATATAACAAACAGTAATAAGTCTAAGAATGCTGGAGTTGTTATATTACTATTACAGTAGAGGGCCGGGGATATAGCTCAGCAGCATAAGTACTTGCCTGGCAAGCACAAAGTCCTGAGTTCGATCCCCAGTACCACAAAACAACATGACAGTAGACAAACCCATGGATTACTATCAGAAACACTGCTTAATGATGAAAGGGTCAATATAACACAAAAGCATGAACATTAAACATGTACCTTTACATACTTAAAGTAAAAAAAGTAGGCTTAAAAATATTATTTCCCCTTTATGAAGCTAGAAAAATGCAATAAAATTCAGCTCAAGAAAGTAAAAGATAAAAAAAAAAAAGTAGAAATCTATGGCAAGGACAATAAGCAAGATCACCACTCCTGTCCAACACAGTAGGTGAAGATTAGCAAGACCAATTAGGGAAGAAAAAGGAAAGGGATGTGCACTGGAAAGGAAGAAGTCAAATACCGTTATCTGCAGGTGACATGATCCTCTACATGGAAAGCGCCCCCTCCAAGATCCACCAAAAGACTCGCAGAATTAATAACCAAATTCAGTACTACAGCAGGCTACAAAATCAACACACGAAAATCCATAGTGTTCCTGCACACTAATAATGAACCCATGGAGGAAACAAATTAAGGAAAAAACATCATCCACAATAGCACAGAAAAATTAAATACTTAGGAATTAAGCTAAGTAAGGAAGTGAAAGACCTTCCTCTACAATGAAAACTACAGTACTCTGAAAAAAGAAACCAAAGAGGCCTCAGCAGATGGAAAGGCAGCCCCTGTTCCTGGGGAGGCAGAAAAAAGAGTCAAAATGGCCGTATTTCCAAAATGGATAATCACATTTAACATGATCCCAGCCAAAATTTGAAGAGCATTCATCACAGAACTGGAGAAGATCATCTTAAAATTCACAAGGAACTAGAGGAAACCAAGAAACACAAAAGCAATTGAGTGACAAGAAAGCAGGAGGCATCACCATCTCGGACTTGAAGTTATATTACAAAGCTATTTTTATTTTTATTTTTTTTTTAAACATGGTACCGGCACAGAAACAGACTTGAAGATTAAGGTAACAGAAGAGAGGATACAGAAACAACCCCAGACACATTCAACTATTTGACATTTGACAAGGAAGTCAAATAGCGCTTTAATGAATGGTGTTGGGAAAACTGACTATTCACATGCAGAAGACGAAATCTAGACCCACATCTCTCACTATGATGAGAACCCAAAATAGATCAAAGAACTAAATGTTAAACCAGAAACAACCTGCTGAAAGACAAGATAGATAAAATATGTGAAGTACCACGGGTAGGCAAGGACTTCCTGAGCTGAACCCCGATTGTACAGGAAATAGTTCCAAGAGTTAACGAATGGGATGATATTAAATTAAAGTTTCTGCACAGAAAAAAAAAAAAAAAAAAAGAGTGAAAAAAAGCAATCTACAGAATGGGAAAAAAAATTTGCCAACAATTTCTCAGACAAGGATTCATATCTATAATATATAAAGAATGCAAAAAAATTAGACTGCCTCAAAATACAAGACCCAATCAAAAGAATGGGGAAGCAAAATGAATAGGCACTTTACAGAAGAAGTAGTACATAATTGTACTGCTGATTTCTACTGGTCTATTGAAAGAAGCAGTTAATGTGTAACATTTTTTCTTCTTTTTATTTTTTGTTTTTTGACCAATTGTACATGCTTAATTTGAACAAGTAATTTGAAGACAACAATATGCAATGTAACAACCATTGTTGAATTCCTATCATTTTGTTTGGTGAAATTCTGTATCATTTCTAATGTTCTTTTACTGTCTTTTATTCCCTTTACAAAATAAAAGTAGTCCAAATGGTCAATAAATACATGAAAAAATGCCCAATATCACTTGTCATTTGTGAAATGCAAACTAAAACAACACTGAGACTCCATCTTACCCTAGGAAAAATGGACATCATCAAGAAATCAATAAAAAATTCTGCAGAGACTGCAGTGTGCAGGAACACTTCTGCATAGCTGGTGGGGACACAAACTTACACAAACACTATAGAAAGCAGTATGGAGATTACTCAAAAAGCTAAAACTAAAATTCCATTTAGCCTGGCCATTTCCCTTTTAGGTATCTCCCTGAAGACTTAAAGAGATCTTATCACGGTGACATATGCACACCCACGTGTATAGCAGCACAATTCCTAAGAGCTAAATCTTGGAGGCAGCCTATATGTCCATCAGGAGACGAACAGATAAAGAAAATGTGATGTGGATGCAAAACGGAACTCTACTCTGCCACAAAGAAGGACTTGGGTCATTTGGAGGAACAGTAAGTACCCCGAGATGATAATTTCGTTACATGAAATAAGTCAGACACATGAGCTTAAGTATCACATGGTTTCTCTTACACAAGAAACCCAGAGTAAAAATAAAGAGCAAAATAAGAGATAATAGCAAGTAAGGAGATAAATTATCCTCTGAGGTGAAGGGGATGAAAGGATGGAGAAAGAGGGGCCAGGAGGGCAGGATGAGGGGTGACAAAAATGAATGTGGCTGTCCTATGGACATGCACCAACTCCACACCAGGAGGGGAAGCACTGCATAGTACAGACACATGCGGAACAGGAGGAAAGAGGTCAAGAGGTGGGGGAGGGAGGGAGGGAAGAAGAGTGAAGAAGGAATTAAGATGTGTTATACACATGTCAACCTCCCACAAGGAATAGAAACATTATGTACTACCCACATGTATTAAGATACTAAAATAATATTTCAATCCTTGAAAAAAAGCAACAAGGAAAATCAATAAAGGCAAAAATTGGTTTGAAAACATTAATAAAATTGATAAATCCCTAACAAGACTGTTCAAGAAAGAAAAAAATAGAGAAAACACAAATTATTAGTCTCACAAGGTGTCAACCCTCACACAGGCATTAGAGGATAAGAAGGAACTACTATGAACAACTTTAACTCAATAAATCTGACAATTTAGATGAAATAAATTTTCTAAAATATCCAACTTACCCAGTAACACAGATGAAAGAATAAAAATGAAACCCTACATTTAAAGTGAATGTTATCAAAAAAAAAACCTCAAATCAGAGCTTTTACAATGAATTAAATATTTAGTAAGAGAAAAACAACTCAAAAAGCTAAACTAAATGTGAGGAGACAGCAACCAAAACCAAAAAGGAGACATTCTACATAAGAATTGGTCTATACTTCCTCAGCATGTTACTATAACAGACAGACCCAAAAACTGTTCTAGGTTAGTGGTTATCAAGGACATATGACAGCTCAATGCAATGAGGGATCTGACAGTTCCATGCCAAGTGACCACATCTGAATATGAACTGTGGATTAGAAACATTAGCATTGTATCCCTGATTTTGATCATTGTGCTATGGTTCAGTACATGAGAATTTCCTTGTTTTCAGGGTATAAATACTAAAGTATTTAGATGTGAAGAGGGACAAGGCCTGCAATACTCTCTCTCCCTTTTTTCCTCCCTCCTCCTACCCCCTCTAGGAGAGGAGGGAAAAGGAAAATGATATCACAAAGGAAACTATAAACTACTACAAAAGCTACATAAAGTGTATTCTAGAGTTCACATTACTATTCTCACAACTTTTCTGAAAGTTGAAATTAAAACAAAATGAAGTTACCCCAAAAATATCCAAAAAGAAGTTTCTCAAAAAAATTTAAAAAGGAGAAGCAGACTAAAGCGGCTGCTTCCACAGGCCCAGGGAACGGGGTTCGATCCCTGGCTTGCCATGCCTGCCCCACCCCTGGGGCACAATGACACAGTGAATGAGACCTGGTGTGGTGGCGCACCTGTAATCCCATGCTTGGGAGGCTGAAAACAGGAGGATCACTGCAAGTCTGATCTGTGCAGTGAAACCCTATACACCCTGTACTAAAACACAAATAAATAAATAAAATAAAATAAAAAAGGAGACAAGAAAGTGAGCATAGATTTCTTCTAAAGTCTCCTTCTCTATATGTACCCAGCATTGCCACTCTACAGTAGTTAAGCAGGCAATGTACACACCCCTCTATTTTGAATCTGCACACAAGCAGACAAGCGGAGAAAAACACTAATCAGTGTGGGGTGGGAGAGAGGAAGCCAGTTCCACAACATAAATAAAGAAAAGGCTATGTCTTCAAACCCAGGAAATGTGTATTTTTTAATGTGATGCCTAGCAGAGTTGTACAAAGTGACAGTCACAATAAATGAAGACGTGTGACTTCTGTATCCAGGGTAACAGGCAACTAAGGAGTTCCCAGTATCTCCATCCACTCCTCCCCTCCTGCCAGACCCACACGACCTTATTACTACACAGTATAAAACAAATCCAGAATCATTAAAAGTCAGTACATAGAATAACAAGAAATTATATTCCTGTGGCCCCGGGAACCACTTGTATAGAAGGACGATCTTCACTTAGTTGCTTGGAGCCGAGTATTCTTCATAGCACATAGCTACAGCATTCTTTTTAAATAAATGCACAAATAAAAATGAGCTTAAAAACAGGAATGACGACAAAAAATGAGGAAGCCTTAATGTGAAAACGTGTTGAGAGAGAAAAATAGGCTTCTGACAATTAGTTATAATCTCAGAATGCTAATGGCCTCCCTGCAAGCACGAGAATTATAATTGGTCTCCAGTGGCCTGTTTATCCTGTCTAGATGTAATTACAAGACACAGCTCCTGCCGATTTTACCAATCCATTCATCCAACGACTAACATTTATGCAGTACTGACTCTGGGCCTGGCACTGTGCTGGGTGCTGAGGATGCAAAGATGCCATGCCCCCGGGTTTAAGGAGCTCTCTGCCTCAGGGGAGAAGTCAACAGCCTTACAACTCAATTGCTAAGTGACAGAAGAGAGATATGCATCAACCCTGATGACTGCATCAAGGAGAGTCAATAACAAGGCTTGGAGTATCTAGAAAGATTTTATAAAGGCAAATGTATAAGCATATGAGAACCCACAAATTTAGCATGTAAGCTGCCCTATCCGACTGTCTCAATAACGGATGCACCAGAGTTGCTAGCATCAAGCAACTGACTGTAACTCCTAATAAGAAAGAAAAGGCACATTCTGTCCATGTGACATGAGGTAGCTTCAGAAGTGGGACATCATCAGTGCAAAGCAGCACAGTGGGTGTGGTGTCTATGCATATTTAGCATCTTTATCCCACACGGCTTCAAAGAGAGCCCTAGTCAGGCATGGTGACACATGCCTAAAATCCCAGCACTACAGAAGAGGGACATGGAGGGGCAGAAGAGATTGGGGAGGAAAAGGAAAGACACAGTGCCAGTCCTACACACAGAGGCCATCAATCTGCCAGCCCCATCTGCCTCTTTCCACCTCCATTGGCCTGTAAGCTAACAGCTGCCCAAATCACCAGCTTACAAACATACACCGTTTCCACGGTGTTGGGGTATCACTCACAGACCAGCTGAGTGGGAGCACTGCTCTCCTAGAAGTCCTACCAAACACACTGTGGTCTTTAACAAGTAGCACCCGCATGCTACCCACGTGGTCATTTCCCCACTGCAAACATGTCACCTGCCGTGCTCCGAGCTTTCTCGTCCCCAGGGCTGTGTCTCCTTTAAGGCCCTTGGCCTCCAGGCTGGGGGGAAAGAGGTGGAAACGCACACAGGCCAGACATGATGCCTCCCATCCTGCTCCCGCCAGGGCTCCAAGGAAAGAGGAAGAGGCCTTCAGAAGCCTGGGAGAACGAGGACGCACTCGTGGCCCAGCAGCGGACTGCGGGGGTTCAAGGCCACTTCCACTCCTGCAACCTCATGTGAAAGTTTATGCATTTAAACCATGAGACCTGCAACTCTCGTTGAATAAAACAGAATGGATGTGGACTAATTTGTTCTGCAAGTGATTTGTGGAGATAGCTTCTAGAAGGCTTGTTACATTTTCCAAAAATTTCTACCAAAAAAGAAGAATGTTGCTGACAAGAATGGAGCATTTGGAAACAAAACAAAACAAAAATCATGCAAAAATGCCTTTAGCATTATTTTTCATGTATTATTAGTCTTCAGGGATAAGATATTTGGTTGTCAGTCGTAACCTTGGAAACTCGCCTAAGCAACTTCCAAATGAAAAAGATGATCTAGTTGGCAAAGTTCACTACTCAACTGCCAAATACCTAGCTAAATGCTATTATCCAGGTTCACTTTGCAACATAAATTTAATTTCTTGTAGAGAAACTTGAAATTTATAAAAGAACTCTGGAGAATTTGAATTTTAATAATCAATTATTCTTCAGCCTGATTCATCTTATAAACATATGGAATATGTGAAAAATTAAATTATTTTAAAAAGCCAGACCTTTAACACAAAGTTGAAGAAAACTTCTACATAAATAAAGAATAACTGCCAAATGTTCTGATGCTGCAATACAATTTTTTAGCTCCATGGCATATAATGTTCTTGTACTTGGGAACAGAAAATATTCCTTTCTCTAACATCATTCTTTTCTTAAGAAAACAACTATCAACACGCAAACAACTATCTTCTATCTTTTACTATACTCACAATCAAAGCCTGTAACTTTAAACCCTTAGGTACAAATCCCTCCTGAAATACTGGACTAATCCTGGAGCGACGCATTTCCATGATGCAAACAGCAAAGGTCACTTTACGCAGCCCCGCTTACATAGGGCAGCAGAGAAGCTGGAACAAGAGGCTCTCAAGATGATCTCTTCTTTAGCCGCAGAGCTAAAGCACAAGGGCAGGCCAGGCATCTGGCCCAAGGGCAGTAAGAGCCAGCTCTGGCTCATCAACCCCTAGTTTACCCAGAAGGAGTACAAAGTCCTGACTGTACCCTCATGTAATAGTGATTATGGTCTTACACATCCAAGGACATCACACTATTAACTACGAAGGTGGAGCCAGGCATGGTGGTGCAGGCCTGAGTCCAAGCACCTGGGAGGCTGAGGCAGGAGGACTGCTGTTAGTTCAAGGCCAGTCTGGACTACATAATGCGATACTGTCTCAAAAACAAAGAAACAAAGAACCTACAAATGCAGAAGACAGGTAGCTGAAGCATTCCTTTCCTGCTGTATCTGTAACTGATACAAATACAGTCTACACCAGCGGTGGCAAAGCTACTGGCGTGCATGCCACAGGGGCTATCTGGATCTGGATCACTGAGAGCTTGAAAGGGCTCACCATCACTGCTCTATACTTTCCTCAGATTGGTGTAGATATTTTGCCATTATCTGCATTCTTCACAGTGACTTTTCTTATTTGCTATGAAACTATTCTTTTCCTAACATAAAATAGACACACAAATCTATTATTTTTTTTAATTGTCCTAAAATTATCTCACATACCACACTAGTTTCCTTACTTTGAGAAACAAGGCCCGTGACCCAGGTAGGCTCAAGGACATTCCTGTCGGCCTTAGCATCTTACCTGCAGAGCCCAGGCCTCAGCTATGCCCACATCATAGAGATTTCCTGAGCCTCACCTTCTTAAAACAACTGGTGCTCCCAAAACAAGGTCAGAGCCACCCCATGAGCTTTCTCTGACCCAGGCTGAGTCACTGGCTACCTAGTCATAGGCAATGTGCTGACCAAAACTGGAGGGCAGTCCCAGCAGGTGCTGACAGTCACTTCTCAAACAGACTTACACTCACGGCTTCTGCTCGGTACTCAGCGTCACTCTCCGGGGCAGACAGTTCCAGCAGAATCGGACATACTCTGTTTTCAGTATCATCCTGGAAAATTAGATCTTGTTCCAGAAGAATCAAGAGCACTTCCTGACTGGATTTTCTAACCTGAGGGAGGAAAAAAGGCAAAAAGTGAACCAAAATGAAAAGTGCTCTCAGGGTCAAGACTGGACTCCCAAGCCAACCCTCTGTCCTTACCTGAATTTAGGTCTTCCTGCCCTTGGCTTTCTCTTCCTAAGACCCCGGACGCCTGCCTAATTCTATCATTACTCTGCTCTCAGCACAAAACCCTTGTCATCCAGAGCCCTGTTCAAGCTAGGTCTGCAATTTATGCTCAGAAGAGTGCCCTACACTTTCTTTCCTTAGCTCTTATCCCAGACTTGTACACGTACGTACAAATTTACACACACACACACACACACACACACACAATTTTCCTATGTAATTCATAACTGTCATCTGTCTCCCCCAGCGCAGAGGGTGAATGTAGAGGGCAGGTACTATGTCTATCTGTCCTTTATCCTTGAGAACACCCTAAGGATCTGGTAACAAGAAACACAAAGTTTTCTTCCTATTAGGATTTGCAAAACAAATGGATGACGTGACAAAGTGCCTTCTTTCCTCCACAGGCACAGGACTGGAAAACACAGCACCCTCCTTCTGCTCCTTGTAAACCGTACAAGGAGGGTCACTGTATCTGCTACAGGAAAGGGGCCTAAAGAAGACCGCTTAATGACAGAAGAGGAGGCCCGAGGAACCCTTGTCCTTTGCCACTGGCATGGAGTAAGCAAGCACTAGAACTCAGATCCAAAGAAGCTAGAGAAAGCCTGACAGCATGTTTTCTCTCCTTGTGACTCTCCTTAGGCACTCTACATCGTCGATCACTTTCCTAAATTGGCCAAGCAATGTCCGTGACTCATCCACATGGCTGACACTGACAAAGGATCTACAAACTACGGTACAGGGTTTCAGGATAAATCCTGAGGGGATTTGACTGACCCTGGCAGATACAAAAGTTACACTTCTTGTTATATAGCTCTTCCTTTATCTTGGTCTTAACCATCCAGCAGCAAAGTATAACAAGGTATAAAAAGTAAAGCCATATTAATATGCTGAGCTGTAAAGGGCCCAAATCAACAACTTCTGACATTGCCAGTCCTGCAGATAACCCACTACTATTATGGACTACTAGAGTATATTGGATTATTTTGCTGAATTCACGCACCTACAATATTTAAATGGCAATGGAATATACATCTCTGACAAAACTTAACAAAAAAAAGGGATACAAATTAAGGACCATTTTGTATCCATATATATAAAATAGGATAGATATACAGCTACTTTCTCTTAATTCAATGAGAAGAAAGATTTGTACTAGTAGTGTTTGGTCAGGATATCATGTCTGCATCTTGTACTATGAATAACCACTACAAAGACAACAATATGCAGTATATTAATTTTTGAAACTGTCTTATTAATCGGTTTTGAAACTGTCTCATTGTTATTTGTTTCTCAATAATATTGATTTTAAAAAAACAAAGAAGCTAGAGAGTTATTTTTGAGGAAGGAAAGCACATATAATTCCCATTTTCAGAAAAAACAATAATATATACAATCTACCACTATGATGGCCTAGGGAAAAAATAGTAATAGGTCCCAAAGTACAAAGACAGTCACGGGTGATTAGTTGATAGCAGGCTATGAGAGGATAAGACTGTGACACAGCTGCCACAGAGGCAATGTGACACCAATGCTTCTACACAGGGACAGAGAAAAACAGTGTTTCAGAAAGATATTCTGACAGCTGTGTTCTGACAGAATTGGAGGCCAGGCGATGAAAGGCTGAGTGCATAAAGGTCAGGAAGGCAGCAACTATAACCATCCAGGTGGGAAGGAGGGCTCAGATTGGCTGCCCGATGAGGAAAGGTGATGCCCAGCACACTACCCAGCACAGGAGGCAGGGTGGGGCTGCAACAGAGGAAAGCAAATGTCCACAAGGACTCTAAGGTGTCAAACCCTGAGGGGGCTGGGGCAATAACTTGGTGGTCTAAGCACCTGCCTGACAAGTGCAAAACCCAGGTTTGATCCCCGGTATCGCATGCCTTGCCAGCCCTGGAACTCTGGGCGTGCTGTGCCTCCCCGAAACTGGGTGTGATAGCACATGTCTGTAATCCCACAGCTGGGGAAGCTGAGACAGGAGGATCCCTGGGAGTCTGAGCTGCTGTACAGCGAGATTCTGTACCAAATAAATAAAAGAATTTTTTTTAAAAAAAGAGCTGAAAACATGAGAGGACCAAGACAAATCCACCACGACTTGCTGCGTGACACTCTGCCCACTGACACACTGGGGACACACAGAAGGAACAGGGATAAGGAGGGGGTCATACCAAGGAGGGAAGACAAGGCCCTGAACAGTGGACATGGAGTCAGATGTCAAAAGTCAGAAACTTGCCAAAAACAGTAATGCATCTCCAGTGAGATGTTCATGCCAAACCCCTGAGATCTACTGGTAGGACTGCTACAGTCTGAATCTTGGGAGTCCTTAAAGCCCTAAGTGTGCAAGGCTTGCTGTCCAGCCTGTGGCATTAGTAGGAGGTAGTAGTGAGACCTAAGAGAAAAAGTTGTATCACTACGGATGCCCCCTAAAAGAAAATCCAGGGACAGCACGCTCTGTCTCTCTTCTTGCTGACTGCTATAAAACCTACAACTTTGTTGTACCACAGGATCCCATCAGAAATGTGCTGTCCCACAACAGGGCCCAAATCAACAAAGCCAACAAACCATGGACTAAAATTTCGGAAACTGTGAGCCAAAATAAACCTTTCCTCCTTAAAAGACTATCGTAAGTATTTTGTCACAGAGACAGAAGGTTACCCAGTGGCCTTCTTTGGAAAATGGTCTTTGCTGATGTGATTAAACTAATGATTCTGAGGTCAACCAAGATTAGTTGAGTGGGCCCCAAATGCCATCTCAAATGTCCTGATGAGCAAGAAAATGCTGATAGAGTAAGTTAGCAGCCTCAAAAAGACACTGTGGGAATAAAATGATTTAACAGACAGTGGGCTAAGAACAGGGCCTGGCTCATAGACCACTAAGATGAATGCTAGCTATCACTGTCACTAAAGCCATTCTCACCAGAAGCTAAGTGAAGGAGCACTTCCAGGACCCTGGCACGGGGTCCTAGGAGGATGGAAGGTCTTGCTCAGTCATCTCTTCTGCCCACTGCCTGGTGTGCATTACAATGTTATATGCCGGACAGGCATCCACTAGCTGTCTTTAAAAATCCGAAAGTTGTTAATAATGACAAATGGAGCAAACGCACCAAGCAAAGAAAAGCAAGGAGAGAAGTCACTGCACAGATAAATACATTGTGGGGAAAATATAAATGTGCTGCCATAAAACATTTTAAATAAATGACCAAGAGCTATCCAGATCAATGCTGACGGACCTAAAACAGACAAAAATAAAGCAACTGGCAGAAGGAAGGGGCAAGCCAACACCCTTTATTGAAGGTGTTCAAGCACCCAAAATGAGGTAAGATCTCCCTCAAGGCCACAGTCACAAGCAAGGTGACTATGAAAACCTAAAGGTAAAGGATTCAGAGCACTTGTAAGCACAGCTGTAATCTCTAAATCAGAAACAAATGGTATCAGGAAAAATGTGACCATTAGTTGACTGTAAGTGGCACATATATAAGTACTCGTTACACAGTGTTCTGCGATTAAATATTTCAAGATACTTTAAAAATCAAAACTAATTTTTTAAAAAGCAAAAATGCTGGGTTTTCCAGGGAGCAGCACAGCGAAGCCCACACCAGATACCTATCAAGTGGCTTCCAGGAGCCTGGGCTGCGGCAAGGGAGCTGACAGTGGGACAGCAGGTAGGGGCCTGAGTGCAGGCTGAACAGAAGCCTGGGCAGAGCTTGTAGCAGAGCCTCCTTCAAGGTGCTTGGTAGGCAGCGAGGCAGAAGCACCTTGGATCAAGGCCTAAGCAGAGAAGGGGGAGACAGAAGCACAATCATAATGGAAGGATACAGGGCAGTGAGACGGCTGTGAACAAGCAAGATGTACACCAGGGAGACAAGACAGGAGAGGGGAAACGCAGACACTCAACCCGAGATGGCACCTGACTGAGACAAGGCAGCAGCTCGGAATGCTGAGGAAACACCGCCGCAGGATGAAATGCAGAGTTTACTGCTCATCCAGACCCATCAGTGTTACTAGGACACCCTCAGAGATGCCAGACCCTCTGCTACATCACAGAGGTGAAGAAAGTAAGACCTGATCCCACAGTCAGGTGCTCAGTTTGAGAATGAGGGGACATGTATGGCTACCATGTGCAGAAGAGCCTTCACAATCCCAGAACAGGCAATAGATAAGCCTCAGAAACCAGAACCAACATGCAGACGGTTCCCTTTCCCCCCAGCCACAGCCCAACATCCATATTTCTACCACAGTGCACCCCAGTTTCCTCACCTCTGAGAGAAGAATTAGTAAGTGTCCTTCACCATACTTCCTAGGATGGCAGAAAGGCCAACAGGACATCATCTGCAGCAGTTCCAGAGGACAGTCTCATCACCCAGTGACAACTCAAGTACCTATGACCGTGAGTGGAGGCAACAGGCCTCCCAAGAGTATGGGTATCACCATGGGTGCTAGGACTGGGTTCCTTCACCTGAGAAACTGATATCCAGCAGCCACAAAAAAGACCTGTTCACGAACAGGCTAGCCTGAGAGCAGCTGCAAACCTACCACCGCATCAGAAAAATCCATGAGTCTGCCAAACTTAAGAGTCCCAACTCACTGTGGACTTCTGGACACAGTCAGTGACCCCCACTGAGGATGTCTTCAAAGGCTGGCATCCATTAATGTGAGGTGAAGACTGACAGGAGAGAGGAGGGACCCTGGGGGAGCAGGCAGGTCGAAATGAGCACATCAAAGCAGGGCTGAGGGCCGTGACAGCCGACAGTGACAGGCAGCGTAGCAAGGAGCATGGGCTATGCCTCAGGCATTGACAGGTCTGAGGACAGCTAAATTAGACTGACTTCCTCAGCTGCTGGGTAAAGATAGCAGGACTAGAGAGGAAAGGGTGCCCTGAAGGTTATGTATTTATGATAGAAACAAAGGAGCCACAGCTTGGATCTCACTGGATAGAGGCAGTAAGAGGGAAAGATTTCAACAGTGCCCAGTTGGAAGCTCAGGGGAACTGAATAAAACAGATGGTGGGTCCATTCACCACAACAGGAGATAAGGACTGAAGGCTTCTTTTTTTTTTCTTTTTTGTGATGTAAAAGGCAAGGTCACCTGCCTAGTGCAAGGCAGGGTGAGGTAACGGGCCTGACAAAGGTGGCAAAGGTCTAAGAGCATATGCTGCCAAGGATAATGTGTAAGCAGCTGAGGAGGGACAAAGGAGAAGACTGCCAAGCAAGGCTGCAAGCCTAACTGTGACTGGAAGTCACACATCTTCAATGGCACTGGTCAGCGCATGATGGGACTCCACTCTCATGCCCAGCAACCAGGAACGGACAACTGGGTTGGGGGTGGCAGTAACAGGCCGAGCCAGCCTGTCAAAAGGGCAAAATTAAAGAAGTAATGTTGGGGATGGCCCTGAGAGGGTGGGATAAGAGACCAGCTGAGAAAAGATAGGAAGTGAAAGAGGGCAGACAACAGAGTTGAGAAGCCAGGGGCCTCCAGGAGCTGCAAGGCCAGGGTACTGGACAGAACAGGAACAGGTAGTAGTCAGAGTGCAGAAGGCCAGTCTGAGAGCTCAGAGACAGACATAGCAACTCCAGATACAGCAGGGGAATCAGATGGTGACAGGCACAGAAGGGAGTAGGAAGAAGGCTGAAGTGGAGAAGC